ATATATATATATATATATATATATATATATATATTATTGTATGAATGAATTGCGATGAAACGGGCTGGGCCGGGTGCTTATGATTTGGTTTCGAGCTGAAAGAAATGGGAATCGAGATGTTCTCTCATGGTTGGATGAAGCAGGAACGTGAATTCCACACCAGACCAGGGTGAGCGGGGATAGGCGAGCGAGGTTCCGCGACTGCGTGTCGCGATTTGCACAGCTCTGTCGGTTTTTCTATTCACGAGCGATCGACTTACGGGTGAAAAGAAAGGGCTTTGTATCCTGTGGAGCTTCCAGCCTGCGTGCAGGGATACCTATGGACCGAAGTCCGCCAGAGCAGGAGACCAGATATCCGACGAGAGGTAGCTGCTGCAGGCCAAGAAGAGACCGGTGACGTTTAGATGAGAGATTGTGGGAGACTTGTTGAAAAATTCTTGGGAGTACAGCTTTGCTATGGTGGTGTATATCATCAGGAAGCGAAAGTTATGTGCCAAATATGGAGAATGAGAACCCCAAGCCCCAACTCTTGACGGCCACTACCAATCTTCAAGACTTCAAGCGCCCATCAGCATCAGTCTTCGGATCTCCTTCTTCGTTCTCGTCCGCCTGTACACAAACACGAGTATGACCACAGCCAAGCCATTCACTACCGATTTGGCAATACTCAGCTCCCATATCCTTTGCTAGTCAGAGTGTCAGAGAATCAGCCACAAGTCGAGTAAATCCTCCACTCTTGAAATAGAGAGAAGCCACGTACCCCTCTGTCACAGACCTTTCCAAAATTCACAACCCCTTCAAAATTTGGCTCTGCAAGACATCAGAGTAAGCATACATCTTGCGTGAGGAGTGTATAGAAACAAATTGAGAGTAGCTCTCGAGACATTGTCTGGAAGAGGATACTTGACTACTCACGTATACCCTCCGCAATAGGACTGCACGCCCACCCCCAGAGATCCCTCCCATTCTTCGCCACTCGATAAGCGACCGCGACCACGATCCACACCACCAGATGCCCAACGTCAACCACGATAACTATCCCCACTTGGACCCCAGCAATGGTGTTGGCGGCTTTGATGGAGAAGTAATAGGCGATGACCATACCGACGCCGAGGAGGGCGGTGATGAGGGAGAGACAGAACATCAGGAGGGAGGACCAGAGCTGCGTCTCCTTGGCCCAAGGGCCGCGCCCGGAACGGATGGTGGTGTGGGTTGTGTAGAAGGCGTAGAGGGTCTGGCCTTCTTGGGCGACGATTGCGATTGCTATTGCGGTGCCTGCGAGGCGGGAGAGGAGGCGGAGGTAGCGGATTCGGCTTTTGAGTTTCTGTACTGCCTTAGCATGAGCCTGGGAAGTGAAAGCTATATGCTCTTTGAGAGTGTTGGCTGGAGAAGATGGCTCACTCTGTCTTTTTCCGAAAGGAAGGACATGGCGGGTGACTGCGGGTGGCTTTGAGTGCCTTCTTCGCCGAAGTATTGTGTAGGAGATCCGACATGGATGTTCACGGGCTTATGGATGGAGTCGTTGTAGTTCATGGAATATGGCGTCGTTGGTGTTTGGGGCAGGGCATTGTACGTTGTAGATGCCATCTCGAGAGAATCCAGGATTCCTTTCCTGTTCAGTAAAGGTGTAGCAGATTGTGAAGCAATACATAAGGCTTGAGGCTCAGGAGCGGTCGGTGTGTAGTAGTACTCCGAAGCGAACAGCCGCAGTAACTTCAAGAGGATCAGGAACACTGGGCGGCCAACAGCCTATTTATTATATGAATATCTGTCGGCATCCAGAGCTTACATAAATATGAGGATCTTTAGCACGAATGCACGGCAGAATGCTGTATAACAGTGATTACTGAGCGTGCTAATCCTGTCTACGGAGAGCTTTTGAAGAGGAGAGTGGCTGCGCAGTAAGCAGCCCAGTCCACCAGCGAGTAGCAAGCCTTATTTTATGGAGGGCACAGCGGGGAAGGTTTCTAGTCAACAGCCAAATCGCAGTGCATTGATTGGGAAGAAATGCAGAGCAAGCTGGCTATGTCCTGGCGCTGGCGAGCTTATAAAAGGCACCTTAAAGCAGCCAGCCTCTTGATTGCCCGCAGAAGAAGGGATTGGAGTGGTCATGTCGCGAAGCCGGTGGTGAGGTGATGAGGCTGGAGTCAATACTGTCGAAATTTGGAGGTGGAATTTTTGGACTTCCTTGACCTGGGTCTGAGAACTGCTCAGCGGGGATTTTCTCTCATGGGCCAGACCGGGTTATGGAGATGGGAGAGAGATGTGACGGGGGTTGGGACTGAGCATGAAATACATGATTCCATTGTTTGATCATAATCAGCCGTCCCCTATTGAGACGACGAGCACTGCGTGCTCACCATCTGTACGCAACGCAGCTTCTACGCAACGTCTCCCTCATATCCATATCAATTTCAAGCTTGTGGATCGCTAGTGTTGAATCTCGTAGCAGAGTTCAGCTGCACGACGAATCGAAATGAGCCAAAAGTTTGGCCGACATAGTCTCGGACACAAGGAATCAGATGATGCAAGCCTCAAAACGACAACCGATGCCATCCATCAGATACTTTGGTCGTATCGGTTTTCCGATGCATCGGTCATTATGCATGATGTTGCACTCTGGGGCACTCTCGTGGCTCTCCATCGCGCTGCCCTGAGGAAGATATGCAGGATGCTCTAAAATTGGGCTTGTCTGGAAAGCATGTGGCTTTTACTTCGCTGGTCCGGTAGGTGCTGAGGATGGTGCTGAAGATGCACCACCACCACCACCACCACCACCACCACCACCTCTTCCACCCGCTCGGCCACCACGTCTCCCCGGGGCCCCACCTCTACTTCCACGACCGCCTCCTCTTGAGGACGAAGGAGCATTCGGAGCGTTCGGAGCTGGATTGGCAGGCTTCTTCTCCGGAGGCAGAGCTGTACCTTTTCGCTGCATCACCTGGACGGTACCTTGGGCTACAGTGATAGGGTTTGCTGCCATAGCCTTTTTCAGGCCATCGGTATCAACAAAGTCAACATATGCGAACCCCTTCCTTCTATCAATCTCTACAGTCTTGACTGCTCCAAACCTCTCCATTGCTTCCTTCAACAATGCTTCGGTGACCCCCTGAGATGGGTTAGCATGCTTGACGAAAGCTTGTGTAGCACCATCTGACGGGGCGGCCATTTGCGGAGGTCTCCGAGCTACAGCAGCAGGTGCAGACTTCACAGTTTGAGTTTTTGAGCTGGAAGCAGGAGAAGGCTGAGCTTCAGGCTTCTTCAACAAAACCATGGGAGTGGGAGGATTGTTGGCTGTGGTTGATTTGGCAGAATTGTTATCTGAAGGTCCCCTACCACGTCCTTTTCGGTCATTTGCTTGATTCATAGTAGACTTGGGGGCAGTGGGGGGAGTGGGGGCGGTTTGAGTATGTTGCGGGCGTGGAGAAGCATTCGAGTCCTTGTTCTCCTTGGATTTATCTATGGCTGCAGCTCTTTCAGCCTTTTGCGCATCTGCCGTGTCTCGTCTGATTTGGCGATGAGCTTGAGCTGGGCTCAGACCAAGGTCCCGCTGCAGCATGCGAATATGGGCTGCTGCTACAGTTTGTCGTTGTCGACCTGGTGCTTTACCACTATCAGGCTTTGGAGAGGATGACCCGGATGCACTCGATCCCGTGCTGGATTTCAGCGCTGTAGAAGACTTTGAAGCGGTCTCCCTGTTCAGAATCTTGACAGCCTCCTTGGCAGCCTTTTCAACTAGTCTGTCCGTCTTGACATCTTTGCCTTTCTTTTTATCTTCGGTGGCCGACGACTCCTTCACAGGTTTGCCCTTTGCGGTGTTAGCCTCTTGCTTTTTGGCTGCCTTTGCCGCCAGATCCTTGTTCTTGATCGCCTTCTTGTCCTTGAGCGCCTGGACCAGGGGAGTCATGGTAACCTTCTCTTGCTTCGCAGTTCCAAGATCAAACTGAGAATCACCATTGGCCTCCTTCCCTGTTGTCGGATTTGCCAATTGCTCGAGGAAAGCCATGAATTCAGGGTCTTGGTCGATTGTACCAGCACGAGCATCAACACGGCGTCTACCTGCTGGTGTACGGCCGTAAGGTGCAAACTCGACAGTTGGCGGCCCAATAAGACAAGCACTGTTGAAGGTATTGAGCGCATCTTCGAAGTTAGATTGTCGAACGTGATCGGAGAGGCTTAGGAGGTGTGTTTCGCTCGTGAGATGGAAATAGGCCCGTGAAGGTTTCGATGGCTTGGATGCGCTTCACCAAATTAGTGAATGAACATAGTAGAACAGTGAAATCATTACTCCTTTGACTCTTTGCCTGGCTTGTAGAGAAACCAGTCTACCTTTCCCTGTCCTGCTTTCCATTCTTCTCCCAAAACTGAAGTAAATTCGTCCTCTGTGAGGCCTGGTGCCAGCCTTCTGACTACAGTCTTCAGCTTGACAGGCATCGGCTTAATTGGCACTGGTCTAGCTCCATTTCCAGATGCTTGTGCCGGTGTGATTGCCAGAACTCCATTTGTTTGAGTGCGATTTCCTGCCATGGTCAAAGGTTTGGGGGTTGTAGCACCTGAGCGAGCGGCGCTACCTTGAAAGCGGTTAGGTGCAAGGATCAATCATAGAAGTTCTCACGGGTTGTCAGGGTGCTCGCTTTCGAACGTGCATACGTTTCTTCGCAACGTTGGTTGCTGGCCTTTTTTCTTGTCGTACAACAGAAGCAGCGCAGTCTCGAGGACAATTCAAGTCTTGCTACTGCTGTCTACCACCAGGACCGGAAATACATAAATCCGAGCCTCCATCCCACCAGGCCCGCGCTCATACATCCGAAGAATCGCCGATTGGACATAACTCAGGATGGCGGAGACGAGCCCTGACGTTGAGCACGAACGCGTGCTTACAATTCCCAACTCGCCTTCATGTTCATTTCCATTTGCATCTCCACCCCAATCCACCATCACTGCCCTCGACAAAGATCTCTCTCTCTGCGATCAGCGAGAACTCAGCGACCCTATACCTGACACCGACGACAACGACGACAACGACGACGACGACAAGCGTTCCCAAGCCCTCGCTACCGCCTTTGAAGCTCCGCGTGCTTTACCTCCCGTCCTTACCCCTCGCCCACTCCCTGAGCTACCATCGCATCCTCTACCTTCTCTCCCTTCCTCTTCGAAGACACACCGACCTCGCTGGAGCCACAAGGGACAACTTCTCGTTGTTCCAGCTTACTACAACATGGCAGGATCTAAGGTCCCTAAGCCAGGCCCGGCAAAGCTCAGCAAGAACTCTGGGCTCCCGGAGTGGCTTTCCCAGGCAAAGCAATGCCGCCATCTTCCCGAGGCTGTCATGAAGCAATTGTGTGAACTTGTCAAGGAGTGTTTGATGGAAGGTAAGTTTACCGTGCCAACATCTCAGGTAAAGTCTACTTATCATGGCGCAGAGTCCAATATTCAACCTGTGTCTACGCCTGTCACGATCTGCGGCGATATCCATGGCCAGTTCTACGATCTCCTCGAGCTGTTTCGCGTTGCTGGTGGTATGCCTGGTGAGACCGATGTCCAGGCTCCTACCACCCAGATTGACCCCTCCGAGATCGAGCCTCCTACCGAGATCACCAATCCTAGGTTGAAAAAGAAGATCCGCGTATCTGATAGTGGTGTTGAGAGTGCCAGTGGTGAAGATGATGAAGAGGAAGAGCGCGGTCGCCCTCGTACAGCTGGTCAATCAAGCCGTGGTGCAAGCGCTGGTGGCGATTCTGCCATTGGCGTCAACCAAGTCTCGGGCAACGGAAACCAGAACTTCATCTTCCTTGGTGATTTTGTAGACCGCGGCTACTTCAGTTTAGAGACCTTCACCCTCTTAATGTGTTTGAAGGCCATGTAAGTATACTAAACATGCGTCACGTTTCCTATGCTAACTTTTCAGGTACCCCGACAAGATCACACTTGTTCGCGGCAATCACGAGTCCCGCCAGATTACTCAAGTCTATGGCTTCTACGAGGAGTGTCAACAAAAATATGGCAATGCTTCCGTTTGGAAGTCGTGTTGTCAAGTCTTTGATTTTCTCGTTCTTGCTGCCATTGTAGACGGTGAGGTTCTGTGTGTACACGGTGGTCTGAGCCCTGAGATTCGCACTGTGGACCAAATCCGTGTTGTCGCTCGTGCCCAGGAGATCCCTCACGAGGGTGCTTTCTGTGATTTGGTTTGGAGTGACCCTGAGGAAGTTGAAACTTGGGCTGTTTCTCCCCGTGGTGCTGGATGGCTTTTCGGTCATAAGGTCGCATCTGAATTCAACCATGTTAACGGTCTGAAGCTCATTGCTCGTGCCCACCAGCTTGTCAATGAGGGCTACAAGGTATACAATTCCCTACTGCACCATGGTCTGTGCTAACTTTCTCAGTACCACTTCACTGAAAAGTCTGTCGTTACCGTCTGGTCCGCCCCCAACTACTGCTACCGCTGTGGTAACGTTGCCTCCATTATGAACGTTGGCGAGGATCTGGTCCCCAAGTTCAGCATCTTCAGCGCTGTCCCTGAGGATCAACGTGCCGTTCCCGCGGGTCGCAGAGGAGCTGGCGAATACTTCTTGTAAACACCTTTACTTATTTTCTCTCTGCCATCTTGAAGAGCTTCGCAGGATATCATGACAGCGTCTAAAGGGCTTGCATATGGAGTTGGCGTTTGTTACCCTGTACAAAACCATGCGGTGCTATATCTCACCTTTCTCGTTTCTGCATCATCGATCGACGACACGATTCCCTGAAGATAAACTTCTTCTGATTTGTGCCATGTCACTGCATATCGGCACAACATCTCTGAAGCCTTGGAAACATCATGAGGTGGATTACATGGCATTTGGCGAATACGATCATTGAAGCCTTGGGGTGATCAATGCGGTCAACTTCTCGATTGATGGTACGTGTTTTCCACTACCTTCCGTCCACATTACAGCAAGATGATGAAGAATCATAAAGATTTTACAGACCTGTTCTGAGGACATTAGTCCTGTGTTGAATTCTTGGATACTTTCTGATACTTACAAGCTCGTCTTCCGACTCCTATCCCCGCGTCGACTGGCAATGGCTTACTTTCTGTCAATTTAGATCTTTCGCGTCGGCTCGTGCATGGTACGTACGGCACTAAGGTGTGGTACGAATGATACCTTTTGCTTGTGTCTTTTCTTTTACATATCACGCCTTTCATGAAGAAATGGACCTATGCGTATGATGGATTGGGGCGGAGTATGGGGATACCTGGGGGTAACACATGACTGAATTTTGCCTGGGGCAAAACCAATTTCGTCGATTTCCAATTTGCGGTTTCGGGAGGATGATTCGATCTTCGGATCTCAGGAACTTTCTCTGTTATGTGAACAGCCTGTATGAGTACAATGATGAGCTGATGAGTTGAAGGAATGAGGAAAGACACAATCCAGCAGCTGCCTTTTGAGGGGTGAATATATTCTAGCCGTGACAGGGCTCAGGACCCGGGGGAAATTTCACTGGGCTCTGCACGACTTGAGTCAGAGGTGCTTGCACAGAACAAGTCAAGAAGTTTTCGTCCAAGAACATTCGTTCGTTGTGTGTCTGCACCATCGATTACCCAATCCAGACTCCGCTAAGCTTTTAAGCAATGCTCTGCACGTACTCCGCGCTCCCACGCATACAAATTTCAGGATACCCTCAGATTCTCCTCTATGTTCCTCCCAACCGATGCTTGCTTGCTTTCCCCGACCTCTGGTTATCCCTTAACCTCTCGCAGTACACTCATTCAGGGGCTCAGAGGCACCCTCTCGCTACACCTCCGAATCTGCCAGACAGCATTGAGCGAGCGACCTGCCCACCGGATCCCAAGCATGTGGTTTCCTCCGAGCGGGCAATGAGACTCCGGAGGGCAGGTCACTTTCGTAACTCGTAACCCGGGAAGATGTGGAAGCTTGATGCGTTATTTCCCCTCTCAGCATAACTTCGATTACATCTCCTACTTCCGAAAGCATCCTTCACAGTGGCGTGAGATGGTACTTGCCATCATTCAGAGGACTCGCATTCGCGTAGTGGCCCCTGCTCGGTAAAGGGGCGTGCGCAAACACCGGCGCTGACGAGTACGACACGGCCGACGGCGCATACGCGACCGAGATTGCGGGCGCGTAGGTGACGACCGGCAGGCCTGGATCCCTCGGCGACGGCAGGAATGGGTTGGGCGCGGAGTTTGGCGGTGGCCGCTGGTAGGTGCTGGATTTACGCTCGCTGCGGTGCGACGACGCTGCTGATGCTGCTGCTGCTGATGCTTCGATCTCGCGTCTCGAAGGGGAGCTCCTCGGCGGCGAAGCCCGGTTGGAGGCCCGTCTGCGCTTCCGCTTCTCGTGCTCGAGGTCTTCCTTGAGCTCCACGATTTTGTTGTGCAGGTCTGCCTTCTCTCGCTTCAGCAGCCGGTTCTCCCTGTTGCTGTCCGAGAGCAAGACGTTGAGCTTGGCGGTGCTGGCCTCCAGCTGGCCGATCCGGTCGTTCGCGGCATCGAGCGCTTCTTGTACGGCGCGCAGGCTGTGCCGCTGGGCTTCGATTTGCGAGGAATTGAAGGACTCTGTGGGGGTTCCTAGCGAGGCTCGGTCTGAGGCAGAGCTAGTGCCTACGCCCGAGTCCCTGGAGCTGCGGTGGTGGTGCGAGCTGCCTTTGGTGCCACGTTCGTAGTGAACGGACTTCTTCTGCTTGGGCGACGACGACATGGTGTAGCGGGTGTCTGTGGAGCGAGGCAAGGTGAGGCAAGATGAGGTAAATCGAGGCTAGAGATGTCGCCTAACGTGCAGTGAGCTGGCACAGTGCCAATGATTTGATCGGTTTGGTAGTAGAGTGTGAGGCTGACTGGCGGCCAGGTATTAGGGTTGGGTCTCAATGCCGATGATATAAAGCTGGGTCGGGTTGGGTTGAAATTGAGGGGTGTCGAGGTATATATATAAAGATTGGAGGGCTGGTTGCTCGTCTGGAGAGAAATGGACTTAGCTCGGATGCTGCCTGCCTGCCTGCCTGCCTTACATATATAGACATGTTCTTCTTCATGAAATGGTACCCTGCGCATGGCTATGGGCTATGGGCTATGGGCTATGTGCTATGGGCTATGGGCTATGGCTGTGGATGGGCATAGGATAAACATGGGGATGGGCATGCCGGACTTTGCGTTACTCGGTGAGATGTACCCCGCCAAGCACAGCCCGCATTCCATCCCTTCACCTGGGGAACTCGCCAGAAGAGTCATCGAGGCATCAAGTCAGAGGGTGTATGAGTCCTGCTATTGGCGAAGTATGGGAACGGGATGCAGGCTGAATTGGAGGAGGGGAGGGCCATGCCTCGGTGCCTAGGTGGCTGTCCTGATCCAGTCAGGTGAGCGAGCGGCACAGCAGAAAATCCGCCTGGCTAGGAGCCTTGGAGCCTACCGGGCCCTACAGATCAGAGGAATGAGGTGGATGCTGCCTGATAGCCATGATCCAAATCCAGATGGAACTGTGGTCAGTGTGCGTTGTCCCTCTGCGATGCTGCTGCTGCTGCTGCTGCTGCTGCCAGTATCCGAGGCGGATGACTCGCACGTGCAGAACAATCATTATTCTTATCGCAATTCGTCCGGATTCCATCGTACGTCAGCTAATGCGGCGTCATGGGATGTTCCATCGTTCGTGTAGTCATTTCTGGAAATCAACAAACAAGCAGAAACTCTAATTTGTTTTTGCGTCTAGGGAGGGATCACCAGGGGGATCAGATGGAAAAGCTTGGTAATATAACATGTTGGAGACATTTATCCTTCGTCTTACTCGGACTCGGCTCGGCAAGCGGCTAAGAGGCGCCTTCCAAACTCTTCTCGTTTAATCGTCAGTCTTCCGAGTCCAGCAGGATTCAAGTTATTCTTAAGCCGAGCCAGATTAGCAGAGGCCGGGTCCGGATACCAATACTACTTACAGTACAGTGGGCTTCTGCTATGTTACATGGATCTCCTGTCCATGGAAACCCGATCAATGCCGGAAGTCGAATGCCAGGTCCACGCAAGCTCAGGTTCGTGTTGGCGGTTTCATGGTGGAAGAGTCGTTATTGTCTGGTGGCGAGATAGCTCTTTCTTCTTTCGTCTCTCGGAGCCGAGAGTTTCCAGGGTGCTTTCAGTCCCCAGCTCCAAAACCATCGGCTCTAGAATCCGTACGCTTTGAGGAAGTTCTAGAGGTTGGAAATCGTGGAGTTCTTCTCGGCAATTCTGGTCTCGGCTAACCTGAGCTGATCCCCCTTCTCAACCATCCTGGTTCTCAGGAGCTCGACCTCGAGCAGCTTTTCTTCGTAACGTGCCCGACAGCTCTCACCAGTTCCTCTCTCTAACATGCGGATTGTCTACTCCAGTTTCTAGTTTTTGCAATGTAGTCGTTCGCTCTTGTCCTCCTCATGCGCAAGCAAGTTATCGATCCTGGCAATCTCTTGGACTTGTGCGTCCAATTGAGCGCGCATGTTTCTGCACTGGTAGTGTTTGTTGACGACCCTTTGGTCCTCGGTTCGAAGGTTCTGCAAATGCCATTGGTCTCTTTGCGCCACGCTGAGGCGGGCCTGGAGGGATGAGACTTTGGAGGTGAGATCTTGTTCTCTGGCTTCGGCTTCAACGAGGAGTTCCTGAGTGGTTTCGTGTCCGTATCATGAAGATCGATAACGAGAAGATGGTTGGCCAATGAAAAGTTTTTCTCGCCCTCGGCTGTCCCTCTCGACGTATCCTCGCCTATGGTACATGTTGCTCGGTGTGTTCTCTATCTTGCATAGGCCTCAGGACTTCTTGAGACAATACAGTACCAGTGGCTAGTGCTTGTGTCTTGGATATCTAGTGATTGGTGTAGGCAAGTATGATCTGCAGCAGTAGTACTGGATGGGAAACGATAGCAATGGATCAGTGGGGGATGGAAACTGGGATTTATATGTAGCGTTGCCTAAGCTCTTTGAGACAAGGCCTGGCATCACCTGAAATACCTCTCTACACCATTTCACTGAACATATATCCACAAGGGCGAGAGGAAACATGGGGCTAAACGAAGTTGCAAGTGTCACGGTATTGAAAAGTGTGACAACACCCTGAGACACCCCGATACCCATCTGAATAAAGGTCTGGGAGTGTTGAATATCATTCCTGGCTTGCACAATCTGATCCGTACTGTGGAACTGTGACTGGATATAGCAACTTTGCTTATTGTCTCCCAGCTGTTCATGATTTCGCGAGCCTGGCAGGAGGCTCATCCCATCTTTTCGTGGGGTGCGTCAACGTCAACTCTAATTGAATCCAAGCATCCCGGCGGGCACGAAGAACGGGTATAGCCACTGTGCCGGAGCCCCTGGGCTATGCTGACAAGTGTGGTGGGTAAATGGACGGTGATGCTCTCCAGCCTGGGGTGGGGGTCCGAAAGGCTTCAAGCACAGCCACGAGGAGCTCAGAGCTGATGAGGTCCAAACTGGATCTGACGACCGACAAGAATAACTATCTCGTCTGAACCGGCCAGGAAGAGATCTTAGGCGATAATCTTAGATGGGCATCATTCGTATGCTTTCTGGCTGGAGCAGAGTCGGGCATGATGTGTGGCGTCGGAGGGCACAGTGTGACTTGATGGGGTAAGCTGAAGCCATCTTCGAGGTCGCAAGACCTCCCCTTCGTGACAGGCGACAGGTCGATGACCATTCTCCCAAAAATTTGTCGGGAGTGGGATCTCAGAGGTTGAGTGGACAGCCAGCCACGATATGGAAATAGTCTCCCTAAAAGCTAGATGGCATCAAGCTCCGTAAGCATTTCATGCGCGCAACATCTGTCTACGGGGGCGTGAAGGGGACATCGCGAGTCACCTTTTTGATTCTGCCCCTTGCCAGAGCTGGGCGGTGAGCCATAAATTCCGGCCTCCCATGTCGTGATGTGAAAGCATGAGTTGGTATACAGGTAGGAAGGGCTTCAGGTGATCGGATAAGGGGCGGGGGAGAAGACTATGTACACGACAACAGGCTGCTTAGTTCATGGACTGTGTGGTTCCACGTCTTAAGGTTTCGAGCGAACCGCGAAGGATTTTCTTCTTCAAACCCCCGATGAATTCAGGATGTCCAATGAAAAAAAAAGAGTGGTCTCTCAGACATCCACCAGCACCTACCCCAATGGCATGGCCGAAGCGCAAGTCATTAGGGTCGAGATCATCGCCGCTCTCTATACAGTGAACGCTTGCGCGGACACCGCCATCCTTGCGGACAGTGCGAAAGCAAAGGCCTCACTCTTAGGCACCGGGGAAAGTCTCATCCTCGAGAGCGGGTCTGTGGCTTTTTTGAGAAGCTCAGAGAAGGACGTTTACTTCTGTAGAAGAGGGAGTATGGTCAGCAAGAGGTAGGACCAGTAGAGGGTGAGGGGAATTTTCTTACTAGAAATGATTCTATGAAGTATTGTCGAACATAGTAAGAAAAGAAAAAAAGTTGAAAGAAACGGAGGGAGGGAGGCATTATATAGGGTGTGGAAAATATTTTCCGCGCTACTGTCGCTTAGCGTAGCGTCCGGTCTCGTGATCAAAGACCGGGGCTCCAAGGACTTGGCGGCTCCGCTCTCGGACCGATGGCCGCCGATATTTTCCCCCTCGGATTTATTCACGGTACGGTAACCATGCTACGGTGTAAATGAGATGGCTCTCCAAATGACAAGCGAAGACAGACAATTAGCGCCCACTAGCTGGTGTAAAGGACGCCCGCCATTCTTCTGACATTGATTACCCACTCCAACTTACCTACCACCAACTAGTACCGGTAATTACAACAATCCACCTCCACAACACACCTTCGATCGAATATCCCTCGAATTTCTATCATTATGGAATCTCAACCCAAAGATACGACTCATACACCCTCTCAGCGATATCTTTCTACCAGAGGAGGGGACTATGGGGTTAGCATCCAACTGAATCGTGGCTAGGTCGTGTTCTAACCGGCTACAGTTTTCATTCGAGGAAGTCGTACTGAAGGGTCTGGCCTCTGATGGCGGTCTGTTCATCCCAGAAGAGGTCCCCGCATTACCCCGCGATTGGGAGTCGAGGTGGAAAGACCTGTCTTTCTCCGACCTGGCATTCGAGATCCTCTCCCTCTACATCTCTCCCTCGGAAATACCTCCCGCCGACCTGAAAGAAGTCATCCATCGAAGCTACTCTACCTTCCGCGCCGTGGATACAACCCCGCTGGTCACATTGGACGAGACGACCAACTTGCACCTGCTCGAGCTTTTCCACGGTCCTACATTCGCATTCAAAGATGTGGCTTTGCAACTGCTTGGAAATCTGTTTGAATACTTCCTCGTCAGACGGAATGAGGGTAAAATTGGGAAGGACAGGCATCATTTAACGGTTGTAGGCGCAACAAGTGGTGATACTGGATCCGCTGCCATCTACGGCCTGCGAGGAAAGAAGGATGTCTCAGTATTCATTCTGCATCCGAAGGGTAGAGTCAGCCCAGTACAAGAGGCGCAGATGACCACGGTTTTGGATGCCAATGTTCACAATTTGGCTGTTGAAGGCACATTTGATGACTGCCAGGTCAGCATCCTGCTCCACAGAATAAACAAAATCTGACAATTGTAGGACACTGTAAAAGCTCTTTTCGCAGACCCCGAGATTAACCAGAAGCTCAGCCTAGGAGCCGTCAACTCGATCAACTGGGCACGAATTCTAGCACAAACCACCTACTACTTCTACTCGTATTTCACACTCATAAAATCGCCCGCATACAAAGCAGGTCAGAGGGTTCGCTTCGCTGTACCTACGGGTAATTTTGGAGATATCCTTGCAGGCTACTTTGCGAAGCGAATGGGTCTGCCCGTCGAGAAGCTTGTAGTGGCCACAAATGAGAATGATATCCTGGATCGCTTCTGGAAAACTGGACGCTACGAGAAGCAGGTCGTGCATGGCAAGGCTGCAGAAGGTGGAATTGCTGCAGATGGTGCGAAAGCTCATGAGGATGGTGTCAAGGAGACACTCAGCCCGGCAATGGACATTCTGGTATCGAGTAACTTTGAGCGTCTACTATGGTTCCTAGCATACGAGTTTGCAGCTGGTGCAGGTATGGACGATGAGTGGAACAAAAAGCAGGCAGGTCAAGAAGTCGAGGCGTGGTTAAAAGAACTCAAGTCCAAGGGAGGCTTCGGTGTACACGCGGAGATTCTGGCAGATGCACAGAAGGACTTCGAGAGTGAGAGAGTCAGCGATGAGCAGACTCTGGAGACGATCAAGAAGTTCTTCTCTGCCGAAAAGAGCTACATCCTTGATCCGCATACGGCCATTGGCGTTGCTGCTTCTCTGCGATCCATCGATCGAACTACACCGGGGGAGACCCACCACATCTCTCTTTCTACAGCTCATCCAGCCAAGTTTGCGAATGCCGTGGATGTGGCTTTGAAGGGCGAGCCAGGCTTCAGCTTTGACAGCGTGCTCCCTGAGGAGTTCGTTGGCCTTGAGCAGAAGGAGAGACGAGTGAGAGTCGTTCCCAGAGGCGCCGGGTGGGAAGGCATTAGAGCGATTGTCGAAGAAGAGGTCGAGGCAGAGCTTCGAGGGACTAGATGATCTAGATTTGGCGGGGCTACAAAAGTATTGTATTTGTTTCGATCGAGGCGTTGATGGCGCTTTTGCATATATAATACCCCGGGATAGAGGGGTGGTTATTATTGCGCTCGAATCGATTTGGTTCCTAGGCATGAGCTGCATAAACATGATTACTTCTTACTATGCCTGTGGTAGTCCCGAAGACTCAAATTCGGCGTATCGGACGGCTTGCTCACCCAAGAAAGACGCCGAAAGGGGTAGGAGTGCCAAAATTAGGCGAAATTGGTCACGTGGTAACTCTCCACTTTTGCTCTTGCTTATCCAGGTATGTCTGTCTGTACATGCAACGTAGCGGGGTATAGATCGCTAACGTCATAGATTTGCCTCCTCTCGTCTGTCAAATTCCGACTGGAAATCGGCATGTCTGATACCGGTATATACCCATCCCTGATATCTGATATCGTTTTAGTTCTACGTATCAATGTTTATCTCTGGTTCGGTCGTCGCTCCAAAACCCGCCGATCTTAATCAGTCGTATCTTCCTTCCACCCGGTCCCTTTCAGAACCTTTTGCAGGAACCCGCTTCTGAGCCGAATATCGAATACCTAAAACTCCTCGAAATCCCGGTGTCTGATGTGATACACTATTCCCCTTTCCGAACAATCCTTCCTTGACCCACATGCTCCTACATTCTCGCTTATCTTGAAATACCGGTACCTGCCGACCTCAGATCACCTCTCTCTCTCTCTCTCTCTCTCCCTCTCTCACCGTGCCCATGAGACCGCCCGGCCCAGTCCCCAACAACCCTTCTCCAACCCGCGGCACCTACGGCCCTCATACCAGCATGTCTCTCACCCCGGGCCTCCTCTCCGCCACCGCGACGGCCCCCCCCAGCGGCAAGCCCACCATTCTATGCCTCCACGGCGGTGGAACGAACAGCACGATCTTCAACATCCAGACTATCCGGCTGCAGCGCGCCCTCGGGGCGACCTTCGACTTCGTGTTCATCGACGCGCCCTTCGAGTCGCCCGCGGGGCCGGGCGTGATGCCCATCTTCGAAGGCTGCGGCCCCTACTACCGGTGGCTGCGGCCCGGCGTCGAGGAGCTGGATGCCGAGACCCGGGCGCTGATCTCTGCCACCCTGGCTGCGAAGGGGAGGCACTTCGTTGGCATCATGGGGTTCTCGCAGGGCGGGCAGACCGCCGCGGCTACCTGTCTCGAGCAGCAGGTCGTTGCGGCGAAAGTGGGTCGAGGGCGCATCGGGTTTGGGGTGTTTCTGAATAGCACCTCTCTGCCTGTGACGGCTGGATCGGGCGTGGATGGAGATGGGGATAGGCAGCTGATCGGGTTGCCGAGTCTGCATGTGGTTGGGCTTCAGGATCCGTAAGTTTGATCGGGCCATGCGTAGTCTTAGTCATTCGTATCCTGCTTTTTGGGGGGCGTTCTGCACTTGAGACTCGTTACGAACATCACTCCCCTTTCTCTCTCTTAGAAGAATAAAGAAGAATAAAAAAGAAGAGGAAGAGGAGGAAGAAGCGAAATGATGGCTGACTTCTCAATCTTCCAGGTGGAGGGAAGATGGTGAGAGGCTGTGGCAGAAGTATTTTGAGAAGGATAAGGCGAAGAAGGTCGAGTTTGATGTCGGGCATCGGTTGCCGACTAGGCAAGAGGATACGGAGGTTATCGCGAGGGAGATTAAACGGTTGTACGAGGAGACTAAGGGTATGGCGCAGAGGTGTTGACCGGGTTTTTGTGGCATGGGTGGATGTGCTTCTCATTTCTGACGTGGTGAGATGGATGGATTCATGACTTGGATGAAAATAGTTCTCGCTGAGCGATAATAGATTGGCCTCTGGGGCGCGGAGGGAGAGGGGGAGGGCGGGGGCGTTTAAGGAAAAGGGGGGAATCTTCTAGGATTTTGGGACAAGTCACCGATCTTAAAGTTGATGTTCGCGGGCTGTTAGGGGCTTGGGATAGATAGCGGTCGAGAATGTCACGCATGTAAACATGTTACTATCGTACTTACTATCTGATCACATAATGTCACAAAACGTTGTGGGTGTGGAATCTGCGAGCGCTTCGAGGGGCGATACCAGCAACTACGTCGTGGAATCCTTTCCCTTCCTACCAGCTCGAAAGTCGATGCTGGGAGTTGTGGGTGCCGGCGGAGCGGAGGCCCACCACGTACGGACCATATTGGTACGTATGTAAGAGTGAAAGTACTGAGAAATATTGCGTCTAACACGCACTAGGTCTTAAGGAGGAAAATTCACCACCACTAGTAACTAGCAAAAGGCATAGCATTGCGCAAGGTCAAGGTCACGAATTGACGTAAATTAAGAGCGTTCTCATAAGGAAGCCGTGCCGAGCAGCTACAACAGTCCTTTTGTGCAAGGGCAAAGGTCAGATTGAGAGAATTAAAATCGAGAAGGAGCAAAGATCAAGATGATAAAGTTGTAAAAAAAATTGCTGGGGAACTAAATTGGTGTCGACCTAACCTCGACAACACCCCATCCCGACCAAGAATCTACCTGCAGCTATGGAAAATCCCATGACAGAATACAAAGGACCTATACTATGACAGAAACAGGAAAGCATTTCGGGTATCGCCAGCGCTAACTAGCCACTCCCACTTCCAACTCCCACAAACCCATTTCGAACTTCCACATACTTCCACGCACCGTTCAACAGCGCGGAATCTTCAGCAACATGTACCTCGCCAAGGCTTTCTTTGTGGCTGTCGTTTCCTCGTGGGCATTGGCCATACCGTCCGACGGCTTTGCTCTCGAACGCAAAGAGGTCGCTGGAAAGAAACACAAGAAGCCCAAGAGCAAGGCGTTGCCCTTTCCAAGCGAGCTGCCCGGAATCGAGCAGTACGACTGGCGGGAGCGGCCATGGACTCACTACGTTGATCATAAAATCTTGGACAAAATGTACCCGGTGAAATGGGACCAAGGTATGTGTACAAAGACTTCCCCTACCTTTTCCACGGTCTTCCGAGACTCGTCAGGACCCAGGCCTGGCAATTGTGGTGGACGGGAATTAAGGCTAACACGCAAACCTGACAGTGAACATCGACCACGATGACAGTACGTGATAGAGGAGAACTGTCCCATCCATCTCCCGACTTTGGTCGCTATCAGACACTTACTGACTGCCTTGTGTCCAACAGTCGTCACCCCTTCTCTCCCACCCGACGTCAAGATCCCCACCCCTTTCCTCCCAACCAACGACGAGAAGGTCAAGGAGCTCTATTTCAAAGCACTCGCCGCATACTTCGAAGACAGAGACAAGCCCGAGAAGAACAAGACGGCGGAGCTGTCGCAGAAATGGCAAGACGTCAACGACTTCAACGAGAAGGCAATCTGCTACTACTCGACTCACGCCTTCAACCTGAGGTGTGCCAAGAAGGAAGATGCGAAGGCCAGACGATGGCAGATCATCAAGTTCCGCCACCGGTACCATAAGCTGAAGAACAAGCTGATTGACGAGATGCGGGTCGAGGGGCTGGTCAACTTTGGGAGAGAGTTGGCTGATTATTTACAGGTGACTGGGCAGACATTTGGTGCATCAGCAGGAGATGGCAGGACTGTACCGTAGCTCTCTGCTAGGAGGAATATATAGGTTGTCTGTGATTGGAATTACATCAGGATCGGCATCACAGATATTACATACCTTGATTATCTCCTTACCACATCTCAGACCTGCTCCCACCCGCTCGTACCTCCATCCGCATCTCCATCTCCATCGTGGATTTTACTCTGTAGATCTCCCTTTTTCAAGCCATTTTTTAACAAAGCCACTCCCGTACCGCATCCTATTTTGCGGGGCAAGAAGAGTCTCAATGTTAAGCTTAAACTTATGCATAGACGGCTAAGGGATATTGGACGGTACTATTGGACGAGACTGACAGATCGAGTCAGGATGTGCCGAAAAGGAAGATGCGCCGAGACGTCGGGTTGTTTGTTGACTTGACAACTTACTACTATACTGTACGCAGCGAGCTTCAGGTCGAGGCGAGGCGAAACAGGACCTATCAACTCATATTTTCTCTCTCTCTCCTTTCTGTCCGTTCTCTCGATTGTCGCCTCTCTTCTCTCGCCTCTCGCCTCTCGCCCTGATCCTCTCGAGTCCAGGAGATCTCAACACTTGGGAACTAGACTCCAAGACAGGACGAGAGTCCGGCTTCACGAAATTTTTCGCGCAGACGCAGACGCAGCGATCCACTCAAAAGCGTCACCCAAGCCCCAGACAAGACCAGCCCAGCCTAGGCAATCGAACCTCGCTTCTGCCAATGCCCTCTTCATACTCTGTACCGAAGTGCAAAGGTTTTCGCCCGACACTCGAACTGCTCCTCTTGCGCTTCCTATCGCCCTGGCAATTCCTGCCCCCGCTCCCGTCGCAGAGCCGCCCTCCTGGGATCACAGCGCGAGCATCCCTGACCGAACGAACACCAGCCACCAGAGTCCAAGAACGAGATCTGCTGGACTCGATCAAGGGTGCCGGAAGCTACCTCTCCAGCGCTCTAGGCTCCGGGCCTAGACCGAACGAACGCGGTGGCCAGAGTGCATGCTGGATGCAGCCGCATTGCTGCGACGGGCTTGATGATGGTGGGTTTCGTGATCATTGTTTGATGCGTTGTGAGCACTGAGGCGATCAGCCTTTTATTCTGCATTGTACTCCCGGAGTTTGGTACAGCGGGCCGCATGGACTGGTTGGTTGGTTGGTGCATGGGACACGGAGCGACGAGATGGATCATGACTGATGGAGGGCGTGATGAAAAATGCAGTACATAGCAGCTGTTGATCAGCTGGCGTTGGATGTTTTTACCCTACGGGTCACTTCAGACTCTCTAATAACCCTCTCCGTTTCTCCATTTCCGTGGCTTTAAACCTTCTCTGTACCCCCCCTTCATTTCTTAGCTCCAACAAATGGCAGGGGTAATCCTTCGAGCCATATGTACCTAATGACACAGAAAACAATTATGTAGGTATAACTCCATATATAAATCCATATATAAATCCATATATAAATCCATATCCACCCCCTTCTGCTACGTCTAAACTAGCTGAGAGCGAATTAGTATATGCATAGAAGAAGTACGTTGGTATCATATAGCAGGAGCCTTCCTAGGTAGATTTTGGAACCCAGCTCTTCATCTATAGCACTACCTACCTAGTTATTGAAATTCCGTATTGAAACCCCCTTTCCTTTCCTTTCCTTTCCTTTCCTTTTCTCGTACCTTGTCTTATCCATCCATCCATCCATCCCCGTCCCGAGCTTTCTTCCCGTGCCCCTTTTTTTTTTCCTTCTTTTTTTTCTCTCTAAACTTAACTTGATCTTGATACCTGGGACGTTAGAATAAATAATAGTATATGTAAGTGCGAGCTCCCAGTTGATTTTTTCCTAGCTTGTCATATTTGTGCTGAAGATTCAGGCACATGTGATGTGATCATTCTGCCAGTTTTGGATTTGGGAATCGTTGATAAGAAAGGCGATTTTACTTCCGGGTCCGGAAATCAAGAGCTTGACCTGAGAATGCTCGACGGCTTGCTAAGCAAGGGCTCTAACAATTACCCTCTCCTGATCGCGTCTCTATGTGGCAATGAATTGCGCTGAAATATGCAGCTATCCCATGAGATGAGCAGGAAGAGACAGGCACGAGACTTGGTCAACCCAGGCTTTGCTTGACGGACGCCCCCGGGTATCAGCCAGACTGGCGGATTCCAGAAGAAAAGAACGGTGTTGGACGCGTCAATTCAAATCCCCTGCAGTCGAGTTTCATGTTGATTCAATAGCTCACTGGACCCCTTCAACGCCCCAGTCCTCCCCACCTGCGTTCCGCACCCAGCCCTTCAGCGCGGCCGCTCTCACATGGGCCTTGACGAGCCTCCTCGCCTCGAGCAGGTGACTCTGCTTGACTGCAGCGTACGTTTCGGCTCTCAAGGCTCGCTCGACAGCAGGTGCCTGCACGGACGCCAGGGCCGCAATGTCGAGAGCGAGCTTCCACTTCCGACGCTTGCAGACGCGGCTTGCGCCCTGGATGGAGAACTGCTTGCGGCCCTGGAGACGGCCGCCGATGAGCGTGTCGCTGTGCGTGGGCGTCCACGACGTGGCCGTGTTCGACGGGACGAGCTTCTGGCCCGCAGCTGGGAGGGGCTGGCGCCGACTGTAGGAGAATTCCGTCTCGGTGTTGAGGATCTGGAATGGGCGGAAGGAGTAGCCGCCTGCCCACTCCTTGCTTTTGAGGGGGGAGAGGCGTCCGGAATCCGAAAATGCGCGGGTGCATGCGACGGAGGAGGACTGCGAGGTGGGTAGGACAAGCGAGTGGATGTAAACATTGCTAGGCGAGATAAGCAGGGAGGTGATGGATGAGAGGAGAGAGGTCGATTGTTTGAGGGCGATTTTGTCCGAACATGATTTCGAGAGGGTCGGTGGAGCGTCTGGACGAGAGGGTTTGCGACGGACAGAGCCGAGGGCTGAGAAGTATCCTCGGCCATGAAGTACGGTGGGCTCTGTCACGGGTGAGTTATCTGAAGCAGTGGTTAAGGGTAGTTCCCACGGGGTCGAGTCTTCTTGGGCTGCCATGGTGAGCTCCATGCTTGCATCGCCACCTGTGAAGCGTCAACAGAGCCTGTAGATGGAAGGGATAGAGGTGTAAACATACAAGGAGCTTCCGAGCAATACATGTGTAGGTTGATACCATCGTTCAGTGCAAATGGCTGAAAACTCATCTCGCTTTTCTCATCCTGGCTTCTGATCCGGACGTACTCCGACGCGAGCTTCTCTGCAGACGCCAACGCATAACATTCTTCGAGGAGGAAGCGGTTGAAAGAGCGGATAGCAAGGACTTCGGCATGCCAGTCGTGCAACACCACCCCTTGGGCCTGAGAGACATTCTTCTGCGGGAGACACTTCATCCCCGTCCTACACGCAGTGAGAAACCAGCCCCTTTCCTCTCTTGATGCAACCCCATACGTACGCTGCTGCCACGCAGGTCATGCCCCATTTTCCTACCCTACGGTCAGCCTTGTGATCGGCGAATGATGCCGGGGTCAACGAACCTTGTGCTACGATCCCGCTCAGCGGCACCCACTCCCTGACCCCATCACTCCTCACTAATGGTTTTCTCTTCGCAGGCCATTTGTCGAATACGTCCAAGACAGCCTTCGCGATCTCATCACCTGAATTGATCTCCATCACATGAGGGGGAGCAGTTGTCGTGGTTGTTGTTGTCGTTATTGTTGTTGTTGTTGTTGACAGACGAGAGTAATTAAGCGAGTGCAGGAGAGGCCGTGCAGATGACGCGAGCATGGGGCGGAGTTGGATTTGAAGTTGGAGTACCACCGGTGGTGCAGGTCGGGTCATATCACATCAGATCACAGTCCGGGAAGAACCCTCGAACGGGACGCGATATGCGTTATCGCGACTTCCGCCTTCCATATCTATACCGGCTCTTCTCTGGAGCATGAATCCCTTAAGTATGTTGTTGCTTTCTTTTACTTTTTTCCCCCTTCCCCCCCCGACCCTCCGACCGCTTTCTCTACGGCCAGGCCACGACCATGCCCAAACACAGCACCAACCCGCAGCTGACGCTGCATAATCTCCTAGTCTCCAAGGCCCGACGGGTGAGTTCCAGTATAGAAAAATAGCCCTGCCATACACAGATGCGCGACTCGATCGCTTGCTGACAGGTCTTCTTGCAGCCCAAGTTCGAGCTCGTTCTAAGAGTGCGCTCCCACAATTTCCGACCGACGGCAGTGGTGCGTGCGAGGCTAGGCTGACGGAGGTAGATTTTCGACCTCAACAACGTGCCGCTGGTCAACGGGACCTCCTACGTTAAATGGCATCTCCCAGCCTCGAACTCCGCCGAGCATCGAGGCAAGACAGATCCCGCTCCCATTAAAGAGCACAAAGTCTCCTGGGACTACTCGAAGTCCATACCGATCCGGCTTATGATCGACAAAAACAACAATCTGCAGGAATGTAGCGTCAATTTAGAGGTTGTGCAGGATTACAATGTGGCTGGGCTGAGGGGCGAGAAGATAACGCTGGGATTTGTGACGTTGAATCTATCGGAGTATGTGGAAGAGAGTGAGATGGGCCCGGATGGGGAAGAGGGGGTGGTGAGAAGGTATCTGATGCAGGAGAGCAAAATCAACAGTACGCTGAGGATTGGTATTCTGATGAAGCAAGTCGATGGGGAGAGGAATTTCGTGGCTCCTCCCTTGAAGACAGCTCCGGTCTTTGGAGGCATTGCTGGAATCATGGCGGGGGAACAGGCTGAACCGGACGATGTCGGACGTGAGTACTTCTTGTTCTTGTGGACAATGTGAGAAGGGAGGCAGGCTGACTGGATTAGATATGCCCACCCTAAGTAAATCCAGGGACCATGGCGAGCTGCAGGATATGTACCGGCTGGCCCTGGCTGCTTCCTGGGCAGCAAATGCGGACGAACTACCTGCAGACCAATGCCTGGAAGACATATTCAATGGAGGCGATGGTTGGAAGCACCATGCTAATCTCGATACGCCCAAGATCACACATTCGGATCATTCCGAAGAGCACCTGATGCGACAACATCAGCGTTCACAATCTGGGGCTAGTTCTAAGAGTGCGACTTCTCAGACCACAGTGACAGGGAAAGGAGCAACGAGACTGGGGCACAAGCATTCAAGCAGTCGAGAGACTCTGGGGTCCTCGACTGCATCCACATCAACGGCAGATCTTTTGCATGACAACAGTTTAGAGAACTCATCGGAGAGGGGGAGGACTGGCTTTAGAAGGGTCTCAGAGCTGGAAGAGCTTAATATTCGGGATGATCTGGTGGCCTGGAAACTACCCGGTACGGTATCATGATACCTGTATGACACAATTATGTATAACGAATTGGGCTAGGGTTTTCTGAGGGGCGAGTTCAGAGGTCAGTATTACTGCGTCTTTTATTCAATAGCGATTCGATGCCAAATTTGGCACAGCTCAAGGGCCTTTTCCTTTTTTCAGATGCTCGACCGGAACGCCATGCTATGCCCTCACAACGTATCCGTATCACCTGACTAAAATCTTCTCATCAAGCGTCTTCCGCATCGTCCACAACCCTTGCTTTCAAAATCCTCACTTCCTCCACCGGCCTATCCTCAGCCCCAGTTCTTACCAGCCCCATCCTCTTCACCACCCCCAGGCCCCTCGTCACCCTCCCAAAAATCGTGTGTTTACCATCCAGCCACGGGGTCGGCGCGAGCGTGATGAAGAACTGGCTCCCGTTTGTGTTGGGCCCGCTATTGGCCATGCTCAATATGCCAGCACCAGTGTGCTTGAGGGATGGAACGATTTCGTCCTCGAACTTTTCGCCGTAGATGCTGGAGCCGCCGCGGCCTGTACCAGTCGGGTCGCCGGTCTGCAACATGAAGGAGGGGATGATGCGATGGAAGAGAAGGGTATCGTAGTAGCCTCGCGAGACGAGCGTAGAGAAGTTGGTGCAGGTCTGGCTCGCGGAGCGTAAATGAGAAATTGGTCGACGGTGGATGAGAATGGGGGGGAGGGGGGTAAATTTGATTTACCTTGGGGGCGTGGTCGTTATAGAGCTCGACGAAGATTGTGCCCTGCGACGCTGGTTAGAGTTGCTGCTGCTGTGCTGGGACGGGTATGGAATTGGGGGACATGCCATCGTGGTTTCGAGAGCGATGTTGGTTGCCATGTTGAAGACTGTTTTGCGCCGGAGCGGATTGCTTGGAATTGCAGGAGGTTACGGAGCCGTCGATGCAGCAGGCGTTTGAATTATATGGTATCTAGAGCTTGTTATAGAAGATTAGTTGATTGTTTGGTTGGTGGATGTGGAAGATTCTTGTGAATATTGTTGTTGCTGATATTTTTCTGGTGACCCGCGAGGCTGACGAAATGCCTTGCTTGCATCCCCGTCCGTGCGTCTTTGTCAGTAAGTGCTGCTCTCAACGCGTCATTCTGTTCGTGAGCGTCCCTTCTTTCAAACAACTTCTTCGACCAGATTTTGAAATTCTTACTTCTCGTTAACTGTTTCCATACGCGAATTAAGTTCTTAAATTCTCCTAATTGAGAACCCGATCTAGCCTCGCCCAGGCTCAGCTCGCCCCGTCTACCAGAAGTGTCACGTGTCTACGAAATACCATATGGACTGAAGTCGCTGAACCCAATCTCGATCCCATCAACCGCAAAGATGGACGCCATCTTCTCTAACTTTTCAGGCGAAAGCCCAATTCTCCAATCCATCGGAAGATGGAGCTACACGGCCTACCACAAGCGCGAGCTCATTCAGATGTACATCCACCTTGTCGCCGCCGCTATCTTTCCCATCTACATAGGCTCCCACGCCTCTTTACGAAGACCTCCCTCAGCAGCTGCACCGAAGAAGCGAATCAACGCGCATGGAAAAATAGTCGATGAAAATGGGGACGAGGAAGAGGAGGTCCGGATTGAAGGCTTGACGCCAAGCGATGCGGTGCTGTTTCCGATTATGGCCGGGATCACGTTAGGTGGGCTTTACTTGATCATCAAGTGGTTGGAGGATCCGAAGTTGTTGAACAAAATCCTTAATGTTTATTTCTCTGGTATGTCCAAAACTTCTGGTAATGATCAGCAAAAGCTAACTGGGACTAATAGGACTTGGCATTTTTGGCGTTGGCAAGTTGGCAGTGGATGGTCTGCACGTAGCCACGACGTTCTTTTTCCCTTCTGTGTGGTCGTCGAGTACAGAAACGTACTATGTTGAACCTTTGCTTTCCCAGCAAGTCACAGGCCCGGTCAACAAGGCTAGAGTCCAGGTTCATCGCAAGTTCGTCGACAAGATGAACCCTTTCCCGGGCTGGTTGTCTCGAATCCAGTTGCCAGCGGCTCTTAACAAGAAAGCATGGTCTCTTCGAGCCGCTCTCAAGAATCACTGGATCTTCAAAGGTTACCTCCATGGCAAGTTCGAGTCTCTCCTTTCCAAGACTCATCAACCCAGAACCTAACTAACTCTCCCAATAGGCGTTGGCTCCATTAAACACCAAGTCCACCTCAACGACGTCGTCGGCCTCGTAATTGGCATCGCCACCATTGCAGTCTACAACCTCAATGGCCGGGCCTGGTGGCTCACCAATTTCATGGGATTCGGTTTCTGCTACGGCACCCTGCAGATCATGTCGCCCACCACCTTCTGGACCGGCACGCTCGTTTCCGTGGGGCTCTTCATCTACGACATCGTCATGGTGTTCTATACGCCCCTGATGGTCACCGTTGCAACTACCCTCGATGCCCCCATCAAGCTCGTCTTCCCCGGCCCAAAACGTGGCAGTATGCTGGGCCTTGGCGACATTGTACTCCCGGGAATCGTCATAGCACTTGCGCTGAGATTCGACCTGTACCTGCATTACTTGCGCAAGCAGAGAGTGGAGACCAAGCCTACGATTCCGCCACTGGCGCTGAGGAAACCGCAGGTTGTGCGGGAGACCTACGTCGATGCTACTGGGAAGTGGGGCGAGCGGTTCTGGACGCGGAGCGCAAAGAAAGGCACGGTGGCTGTGGCGGACGCTGCGAGGTTCTCGAAGGTGTACTTCAAGGCTAGCCTGGTGGGGTATGTTCTCGGCCTGCTCGTCACGCTCGTGGTAATGAACGTATTCAACCACGCGCAGCCTGCGTTACTCTACCTGGTTCCGGGGGTGTTGACGGCTCTCTGGGGGACGGCGCTTGTAAGGGGCGAGTTGCGGTTAATGTGGGAGTATTCGGAGGATGGGGAGTGGGGTCTCGAGAAGAAAGAGGATGGGGAGAAGACTGGCGAGGGTGAGAAGCAGGACGGTGAGGCGTCTGCGAAAGACATCTTGGATTTGGTGCCGAAGGCAAAGAAGGATGATGAGCACGAGCATCATGTGTTCATGTTCTCGCTGGAGACACCGAGGGGGCTTGGCTGCCAAAAAGGCTGAGATCTGAAGCTTTGTAACCCTATGATAGATAGTATGTAACAAAACATGAAATAGAGCGAGCATCGGGACGGAGGCGTTCAAGGCGGGGGAAAATAACTCTCTTGATTTTGTGAGGAAACTATATCGTCCGAGGGATTGAGAGATGGGATTTAAACCATGGTTCATTATTCTTGATTTTCCTTTCTAACTGCACCATTCTTCGGTCCTTTTATCACTCTGAAACTAGATCCTAGACACCTATCTATCAATGCTCCAACCGACTCTTTTCCGTATTTTGAGTCGCCCTCTCGTGCCGCAACGCCAAGATGTTAAACGCAGCTGTATCCATACCTTGACATGTCATCGTCTCATATAGCCCCGCCAGGACTAGCTGCCAAAGGCAGCTGCAGGGTATGCTCTCTTCTTCTTTCCTCTCCCCTCAGCGCCACCTCTGGAGCTACTCCTCGAACTAGCCGCGCTCCCTTGCTGACTACCCAACGCACTCGGCGGCTTTAACATCCCACCACCCAGGATATCCTCGGGTAGATCATTCCACTCCCTCTCTGGCCCTTTGTCCTGGAAAGACCTCGCGTGCGCTGGAAGAGCCGGCCTCTTGGCAGTCGTAGGCGACGACACTTGTGCGTCTGATACACTCCTAGATGTCTGTACCGCCGAAGCAGCATTCAGATGGTCAGACGGCCGCAAGGGCCTCCGATAAATCAGAGCTGTGTCCGGACTCAAACGCCGGTAATAGCCATGTATCACGCCTTCCTCTCTCGTAAACCCCCTGGCCGCATACCATGCCAGCGCCTCCTCGTTCTGCGTCCACACGTGCGCGTAAAGACTTCTAATCTTGGCCTCCGTCTGCCGCGTCGCGGCTTCAATGATCTCGCTCAGCACCGCGGCCACGAGTCCCTTCCCGCGGTAAGGCGACAGGAGCGCGAGGCTCTGCACGTAGATGTCGTGGGCATCGGGTGCGTAGACCGGGGTCTCTGGCGTAGAGGTGGGAGAGAGCGCGGGGTCTAGACGGCAGACGACGCCACCGACGAGCTTGGTCTCCTGGCTGGCGGGGTCTGTCCAGAGGATTGCGCGCGAGAAATTGGTGCTGGGGGGGCCACCTGGTGTTGCAGGGTCGGGCGACAGGATCTTTTGGTAGAAGGAGTCGGGGTAGGCGATTGGGAGGAGGAGGGCGTTGATGCGGCGGAGAGGCTGGATATGGGCCTGCGAGATGGGGGAGATGGTTGCTTGGGCGGGGAGTTTGGGAGCTTGGAGAGCTTGGGGAGCTTGGGGACTTGTGTTTGCTGGGTTTGGAGATGGGAGTGAGGGGGGAGGGGGGGGCGTTTGTGTCGTGGAGCGCGAGGGCAGAGGTGAGGGCGACGGTTGAGGAGCGGAAGAGCCTGGTGGTGCTGTGTAACTGGGTTGTCGAGGTTGGAAGAATGATCGTATGGAGGGCTGTATCCGGGCAGCGGGCGGGCTGGACGCACTGCTGGTGTCCATTATGGCCGGGTTTCTGAGGCTGTACAGCAACGTCGGGAAGAGGTGCACCGTCTGGTTGATTTCGTAGTATCTGGATCGTCCGGATCTCGAGTTTCTGAGTTCAAGGAGGGAGATGGCGGATCAAACCCAGAGCGCGTGGAGAGGAATGCAAGATCTGGCTTCGACGTCGAGAGGAGGAACCGACAGAACCGACAGAAGATGTCCGGAGTAAATAAGTAACCGAGCGCTAGTACAATATGCCCCTTTCTGTGTTATTTTATCTGGAAGGGGGAGACTCGTTGGTATTTACAAGACCTCTAGACATACCTAGATACCGGACATGTAGCTAATGAGCCAATGGAGAAACCAAAGTCTACCTCTTGAATGGAGTTGCGTCTCGTCATTACTGTGCCGTTCGTTTGGTTGACCTTGAACGCTGACCTCCGTGACCTCCGTGGCCTCAGTCGCCTCAGTGGCCTCAGTGACCTCAGTGACCTCACCCACCTCACCCACCTCACCTCACCCACCTCTTCCATCTCACCGCCTTCAACCCCCCCCCATATTTATACTGCCCACGCTAGCACCCCGTCCAGCCCAGCTCGTGCTGCCAGTTTCATAGGTAGCACTGCAATAAACGAGTACGTAGCTACTCCCATCATAGCACTTCTCCAAACCATTGCTCGGTGATTCTTTCGCATCTACCCCTTCCAACAGCTACTCTACTCCCCCGATCATGGCACGGACGAGAGAGTGAGCGAGAGAAAATTATACAATGCTCTCCCCTTTCCCTGGTGCTCCCGTCGTTTTTGCAGCTATTTGTGTTTGCATAGGGGCGTTGCATTGGATTGCATCACAACGGTCCCTATTCCCTTTCCCAAGCAGGCAGATTGCACCACGCTTCTCACAATGTCTGTCAACGATGATTTCGAGACTCCGGGCCTTGTAGCTCCTGATCCAGATGAGCAACTTGATCCCATTGGAAATTTGGTAACTTTATGTCTCTTTGACCCTCTTCTATGCTGCCTGGGAAAAAAGTACCGACAGCTAATCGCCCGCGGAATTAGACTTATGCCGTTCTTGACGATTCATTTTACAACATTCTGCACGACCTGGTCTTTGAAACTTTCCGGGAAGAGAAGCTGTTGAGAGCTTCATCTGCTGCCATTATTGTCGAGCAGAAAGCCACCCTGGCTGCCGAGGATGACCAGTCTGTCATCGAGACGGATGGGGCTTCGTGGGAGAATGGCGTTGCGTACCTGAAAGGCAACCCGCTACAAACTACAGCCTCGAAGGAGATCCGCTGTCCCAAGTGCGGTCTCCTTCGCCTTCTACACCCGACGGACGGCAATGGTGGCAGGAAACCGGCGCTGGAGGTTCAATACTGCACAAAGCATCCGTTCATCAATAAACCATACCATGATGTCTACGGACAAGCATATGTACCAGAGGGCCCCGGGCGGGGCAAGAAGAAGAAAGACATGATCAATCCTCTGAAGCAGCAGAAAGAGAGCACTCCGAATGGAAGTCAAGACGGGGAAAATACATCACCAACTCCAGGTGATGAGGAAGAGAAACAACCAATAAACTTCCCGTCGTCCAAATGCAACAATTGCGGCATGCACGTCCCAATCAGACGCATGAACAATCACATGGCAAAGTGTATTGGTGGTTTTGGTCGGCAGTCCTCGCGAGATGCAAAGGCTAAGATGGCGACCGGCAATGGGGCCGGTAGCCAAAATGGCTACACACCTCCGGGTAGCCGTAACTCCACTCCTGTCCCTACGGCCCCGACAAGCAAGAACGGTCGCACAAGTCCTGCCAAACGCGAGGCAGGCGATGACTTTGACTCTGAAGAATCTCCACAGAAGAAGAAGAAGCCCTTGAAGAAGAGTGCGGCAAACAAGTTGAAACTTCAAGCTCCGAAGATTTCCAGGAACCCAAGTCAGCACTCGGCCAGTGGGCTTAGTTTCGAGTCAAAGCCTCCTGCGAGCGACGATGAGGCACTCGGTGATGACGGGGACGACGATCGTGATGGTGATTTCAACGAGAAGTCGATATCCGTGGACCCTAAGAAGAGGAAACTCACGAAGCCGGTGAAGAAGTTGACGACCAAACCAAAGAGCAAATGGCTCTATGGTAGTGGCTCTACAGCTGCGGCCAATCTTCCCAGTATGCCGCCAGAGCCCGTCAAATTGAAACTCAAGACTAATAGTGGCGAGGGTAATGGGCATTCGAAGCAAGCCAGAGAAGTTTCAGGTAGCAGAGATAGCAGCCAAACGTTGAGCTCGTCGAGTTAAGGTTGTATGTTACGGGCTGGGCGTGCATTGGACTGGACCTTCAGAAGTGAGGCGATCTGGTGAAAAATATTTGGGGACACTCTAAGCATGGATAGGCAGGCTGATGTGGTCTGAACGCGAGCATGGGATTTGGCGTTTTAGTTGTATCATGTGCCTGGGCATCTTGAGCCTGGCCTGGCGTGGGGGATCTGGCTCGGCGCGGCACGGAATAGCATGGCTGCACTCACGGCGTTCAATGCGGTGGTGCGTACGGTATCAAGAATGCATTTGATTTTCTATTCTGCTCGGTGTTTTTGTGTTGGCCTGCAGCGAGACCTCTCCGGACTCCTCCGGAGACCGAAGAACTAGATACAAGGAAACAGCCCAGCCAGCTTACAATTGATAGAAAGAAGCAATATTGTAGACGGAAAAACTTGCTAATTCTGCTCAGCAAAGAACTCCACGTCGCCGTAACTAACACTTACTTACTTATCCAACACTCGTCCACGTTCTTCGTCCTCCTCGTACACAAGCCCCAAGAGACATCCCCCCCCTCCCCCCCTAAAAAAAGAAAAGATCGCCGTGCCTTCGTCTCCTTTTTCTTACGATTCCCTTTTTCCCTTTGGATCGCACCTCGTTGCACTCACTCCATACATAGTACATACATACCATACCATACCTACCTACCTACTTTCTCCTCCTCTGGATGATAGATAAACAGCTAGCGCTCCGGAGTCAATTCTTCCAGTCCAGAGTCCAGAGTCCAGTTTTCTCGGATCTCGGATGAAAGGGACAGTTGTTACGGAATGTGCTTTGTATATTATCGATGTATTTTTTTTTTTCTTTTTTTTTCCTTTTTTTTTGCGCTCACCTCTTATTACCGATCTATGTTAGTTAGGGGGTTGGGAGGGGTTTTCAGTACGTGCAATGGAATGCAATGGGAGGAGGTGAGGAGAGAGGGGTCTTTTTCGGAGGGGTCAATTATCGTTGTAGATTTATGTATTGTTTTATTGCTCTTGCTTCTGCTTTGTTTTATTTTATTTTGGTGGCCGATTTTGATACTTCGGTTTTGAGACTTTGGCTTCGGCTTCTTCCTCACTATCTGGGTCTGATTCATCCATCCAAAAGGTTGATATCGCAGTCGATACGAAGAAGAGAGCAAAAGGGCAGGCAGGCAGACAGTCAGTCGGTAGTGTAGACCTTATTAGTGACGGACAGCTGCTTGTTGGCGAACGCTCTGGCTTTCAGGGTAGGGTAGGCTGTTTTTGAGATGTCTGTCTGTCTGGTAGCCTGGCAAGCCGACCTCCCAGTCAAGCCTGGGCCCGGGGGAGAGGAGATGTCGTCGATAAAGCTGGCATGTTCTCGCGCCTGGTTGTGGACCTGCTATTACCCACTCACTCGTTGCGTCAATAGGGAAGATTCTGGGAAGATTCTGCACTGTAACTTTGTACAAGGTTTGGGGAAGGCGCCCGGGGGAGGGAATGAGGGAGCTCACCAGAATTGGAACTCACTCACGCGAGTCATCATCGTTGTTTTCTCGCTTATGGTAAGCCTGTTCATACCGCACGCATCTCGTGCCGCAACGACGCTTCCACCTCCCTCTCTCTTGTGTACTTCCGCTCCGGCCCGGCGCTGATGAATCCGTTAAGCTTGTCGGCCGGTCCTTTTATGCTCTTTCGTAGGCACGCGAGTCTTCATTTCCAGAGCTCTGGAAATCGGTACTGGGACCGTACGCTTACAATTTTCCTAAATCCTCCCCCGCTCCTCATCTTCTTCACTCCAGGCAGAGGGGAGATTCTGCTCTGGGTATCTTTCCTCTTCTTAACTGTAAAATGAAGCATATATATCCGCTGGCTTTCGCATCCTTTTGGTCACCAACATGTACCAAAAAGGAGAAAATTTTCAGTCTTCGCAAGTATTTCGCCGAAAGTATTGCTGGATTTCCCGCTACATATTAAACCGGGATATAATAGCCCGGGCCTAGAGAAGAAGAAGAAAAATCTAAAATTTCTTCGATTTCGGATTCATCTGAGTCTGGGTCTGAGTCGGAGGAGTCGGCTGTGAGGTCGATGATGGCGTTTGGTTTCTGGGGGGCGGGGTAGGTCGCTCCTGCCTTTGGAGCGTTTCGCGCCTTTTTGCGTGCATCTGGTTCTTTGCACTCGGGGCATCCGATTGCTGTGGTGGCTGCTGTTGCTGGATTAGAAATGGAGCTGGGCAGTGTCGAAACAGACTTCTGGTTTGGCTGGGATGGCTCATGGGTGCTGTTAGTGTCCTCTCCGTAAGTGCTGCAAGAGTCAAACAAGACAGCGCTCGCGTCTAGCGAGCCAGCTTTACGCAAACGGTCGAGTCGTTGAGCGGGTCCAGATGCTGCAGCGTCGATGTGGTGAGACTTGCGACAGCCTGGGTCATCTTCGCCTCGCCCGCAGCAGAGCCACTTCGGCGATTTGTCATAGTAGCCGTTTCTGTATTTCCGTCTGGCTCCTAGGGAGTGGACATCAGTCCAGCAACTTTGAAATGTACAAATTTTAGTTACCTGGATGGAAGACGCATGAGTTTTCCTTGTTCGCGGCTGCTGAGGACGACTTGTTGCATTGAGCGCAAGTGGTGAAGCCAAAGAGCTTTGAGAATTTCCGGGTGGCTTCGACCTCTCTCAGACGCTCCTGCTCCTGAAGGGCTAGATTGGAACCGAGAGACTCTTGCTCGTAACGAATCTGCTCTTCCCGGAATGCCGCATGGCCTTGACGGGCTATGAAGTCGTCGAATACATCTTGCATAGAGTGCTTCGTCTTGGGCCTTGGAGCAGACGCAGCTGGAATGTCCCGAGAAGGCCCTGAGACTTTTCCAACAGGCTTGTGTTTAAAGGCTCCTGGAATTGCTGGCCTTTTCTTCCTCGACGCCGCAGCAGGATCCTCGCGATCTCCCTTCCTCTCTCTCTTTCTCAAAGCGGAGGATACCTCGAAAGCGAGTCTCTCGGGCCCAGTCACATCCTCGTCACTCGAATTGAACAACGCCTCGCGCAAAGAATACCTGTCCTGCTCATTTGCCCTAAGCACTTCTTCAACGACGGGAACACAGCGCTTGTCGACCTTGCAGGCTTTCTTCACCAAGTCCGCCAGATCAGAAGCACGACTGGTCGCGGAGTATCCTTGGATGGCACTCGCTAATTTCGAGCCCGCGGTGCCTCTCGATTGGATCCTTCGGAGCACATCTTTCAGTTCGGCTTGCTGGCTGCCTCAATTGAGGTTCGTAGACTTCTATAGAGGGATTCATCCATAGCTGGTATGTTGAATGCTTCACAGTTGCAATACCGGATGCGAGACTGATGAAGATTTACTCTCTCGCGTACATCTCGCGTGTTCAGGGGTAGCTTGGTTATTATCGTAGGTTGGGTTATTAACAGATGATACTTGTAGATAGTATTAGACCAGGAGAACTGTATTCTGGTCACGTTTTACTCTTAAAGTATAAATCGTCTTCGTTCTCGTATCCCCACCACTTCCTCCTCTAGATGCAAGACATCCATCTCCATCTGCATTCCGTTGGGGAGAATCCATGCCATCTCATGCCATGCCATGCCATGCCATCATGGCCAACGTATCGATTTTACTGTCAGCAGCGATATTGATATTCAAATTGTCCTTAGGTAGATTTCCGCTTGGTCTTCGGCTCCTTCCTGCCTTTGCCGCCTCGAGGCTACCCCAGCCGCGGCGTCGGATTTCAGCTCCATTATATCCTGCTCAAGTATTTACAATCAACCACCTGTCCCAAATATTTCTTCTGGTCTGTCCATACCCCCCAAATCGCCACCTATATAGTAAATACTGATTGATATGTAGCCTCCTCTCTCTCTGCACGGTGCTGAGTGACCCCATCATATCTTAGCAAAATGATTGACCCATTCTTTGCACCGATTCCTGTCCTCAAAGAGGCGGTTACGCCATTGTGCGAGTACCTTCACCTCGGTAGCCTACCCTTCCACATCCACGAAGTTCTGTTCGCATGCAGTTTCTACCACATCATCTTCGAACACCTTGCGCGTCCATTGTCAAACTGGCTCATCCCGTATCGATACAATCATCTCTCCTATGAAAGCAAATTGCGATGGAACATGCATTGTGCGTCAATGGTACAGTGCTGTACGATCTCAATACTAGCACTATGGACTATATACGCAGACGATGAGAGGCGGAACATGGATCTTGAAGAGCGAATGTGGGGGTATACCGGCGCTGCGGCCCTGGTTCAAGCTCTGGCTGTGGGCTATTTCTTGTTCGATTTGGTTGTCATGGTTCGCTACCTAGACGTCTTTGGACTCGGTATGCTGGCACATGCTTTCAGCTGTCTTGTTACGTACACGTTGGGATTCGTACGTTATTACCCAGGTGAGCACAAAGAAATGTAAGTGTCTTACTAACCATCATTCTACGAAGCGACCAATATTCAATTACTACGGATGTGTCTTCATGCTCTACGAGCTTTCCACGCCGTTCCTGAACATGCACTGGTTCTTCGATAAGATGGGCATGACTGGGACCAAGGCGCAACTCTACAACGGGCTCGCACTCCTTACCGTCTTCTTCAGCTGCCGATTGGTCTGGGGAGCGTATTCGAGCTTCAACGTCTACCGCGATGTATGGAATGCACTACATCTCCATCGATCAGCCAAAACTTGGGGAAACGAAGGGGTGATGCAATTTGCTGGCGACAGATCCTTGCCTGCTTGGCTCGTCGTCCTGTACATGAGCGGACATGTCACTTTGCAGACATTGAATGTTTGGTGGTTTGGAAAGATGATCGCTGCAGTGAAGAAGAGGTTTGCCAAGTCTCCCAAGGAAAATGATTCTAGAGAGAGCGGTAAAAAGAAAGCGTAACATTCGATTCCGCTTAGCGTAGGGTTTTGCTTGAAGGGATTATGAATCTCAGGAGCGTTCTAGATGAGAAGAGCTTTGTTTTAACCACCCGAGCCCGAACTCAAGCGTTTTTCAGCTGTTACACTTCTCCGTTGCGAGTTGATGCGTTTCTTTATTTATGTCAAAATCCACTGTAAAACCGTGAATAGACTAAATATTGTTCATTGCGATGAATGGGAACAGATTGGGTGAGCTTCTTTAGATGAGCCTTTTTGTAGGCTTTTAATCTATAAGCCCAATTGGCCTGTAGACGCAACTGGAAGTCATGCCGTAGTATGCTAATTCTAGTGACGCAATACAATGAACTCCAGTGGCATACCGTAATTCTCCTCCAGTAGACGTCTCCGCTTCCCAGAACTCAACTTATTAATAACTTAGTCGGTCTACCTTGACCTAGTAGACGTAGGCCCTCGAAGACCTCGACGTCGACGTAGAGCTCGGTAAAGAGTCAAGAGACACTCAAGGAATCTTTACCTAGTCAGAACCTTGGCTAGCGAGAAAGCTTGAGAGAAAGCTTGTGTCTACAAGCCTGGTCTCCCCCAACTCAGCACTGGGCGCGGGCGCGGGTAGGGACCACGAACCTAGCTCGGATTAATCGTCATCAAGAGAGCAGCTGAAAAGGTGGCGCTTCCGCTTCCGCTTCCGAAACCACCCGCTCTTGAAAGCCTAGCTCACGGCGACAAATAAGACATTAGTAGCTGCGGCAGCCGTTGTTCACTCCCTCGGACAGGAATGCCATCTTGTGCGAGAAGACCGAGTTGCAAGGTGGGAGAGACACCTAGCTTTTTGAACACCGGACCAGTTGAGCAGAGGCAAGGGGGGAATTTTTCATTGTCTCTGAACTGAAAGTCGAGATTGTAAATATTGTTTGTTTTGTAGGTTGGACGAAGAGGATTCGTTGGTGGGATGGGACTGTTTTCGATGGATATATGACCACTCAAATTTGGGCTGGCTCGAAGGCCCTGGCCTGGCCTAATGAGTCTTGAAGAGTATGAGTATCAGATACACTAGATAGTAGTAGATACCGAACCGGACCCGAGTAGAAGCCCCATGCAGGCTGTCAAGTTCATGGATTTTCATATGCGTATGTAGGGAGCACATATGGCCGGCTTGGGTGAGCGTTCCACGCATCGTGATTGCAGGCGTCGTGGACGGACGCGACTTGTGATGGTATGCCTCGCTAATCTTGTCAATGGGTGAATAAAGCTGGCAACTCCTCCTATCGATACTATACACATAAAGCTGGACAGTACGGAGATGGTCTCCGTGGAGCTTTCAGTGTACTTGAATCTTGGGCACCATGCAAGTACGACGGGGAAGTTACTCTGACCTCGTCGGGCTGATACCATGGTGAAGGTCCAGGTCTCATACAGGCAAGCAAACGAGAATGACCACGATGGAGCCGAGCTAATCCCAGGAGCCAAATAAATATACAGACTATACAGAGTAGCAGATGAATGAATATTCGGGACAGGAGCCTGGCATTATCCGTGTATCTCTAAAACAGATGTTGATTTAGCTTACCAGTTTATCATGGGGGAATGGAAACAGTCGGCCCCTTCAACACTTAAACGAATAGCAACATGCTAGGCGGCTTTTCGTAACGTGGATCAACGTATATTTCAGACTCTTCCTATGTTCTTTCCAGCACAGAAAGGAAATTTCTTCGCCGCAGCATAGACCCTTCGAAATCTTTCCGAATTATCAAAGTTCCAACTTACACACATTTCTCCACTATCAGTTCAACCTCGCCAGTCATCTACGCCGTCTTCTTCCAAGTCGAGTAAACACCAATCAAACTGCTCACTGTTCCAGCCAAACCGACAAATCCATCATCAAAGTTCGTTATGCCAATAGCCGATGTAGGGATAGTGAGATCGCAGATGTCGGAAACAAGTTGGAGTTTGATAGCAGCTCCCTCCCTGTGATCCGGTTAGCCTATGTCAACACACAGAATATATTTAGGTGTGTACTTCTCAATCCTCTTAGCAGCCACCACGCCCTCGCCATCCTCCTTGCTAATCCTCCTCTGCTGCTGCCTCAAATTATACAGCGAGTAGCTCCCGCTCACAGCACTGAAAAGCAGCCCAATCATCCAGAACCGATACGCCTCCCTCGCCAGCCTCTGCGTGGTCGGGCTCTTCCTGATGCCCGCAGCGTCCAGGTACGTCACCGCATCCAGCGACAGGTATCCAGCGTATCCCAGCTGGCGGCCAACGGCGCAATACTTTATGATGGGGTCGAGGCTCTTGGAGTCGGCGGCGGTGGCCGCAGCTTTGAAGTGCTCGACGTTCTTGCCCACGCGCATCAGTTTGCGGGCGAGTCCAAACTGTTTCTTGATGGCTTCGAAGGGGGCGATCTCGCTGGGCGTGCCGTTGGTGCGGAAGAGGTACCAGGCGTAGAAGCGTGAGAAGTATTGGATTGTACGGAGGAGCTTGTCGCGGCCGACGGTCGTGGCTACGAATCTAAGGTAGTGGGCCACCGAGGGGTGGTAGATGAGGGAGTCGGCGACCATGATGAGGGTTCCTGGTGTGATCTGTTATTTGGGTATATTCTAGGTGTATTTCGTGTTCGTAGTTCAGTTGTGTTCCTTGTTCGTAGTTCAGAGGAAAGGGTGAGAGCGTAGAAGGGATATAGATCGTAGGAGAATCCCTTGTGAAGATCCGGGGGTTTGATATGATACGCATGCGCTCAACCGAGGTAGTGGGGTCAAGATCCCAGCGCATCAATCATCACGTGTCATGGCTCCATAGTGCAACTGTCACGTTTTCCAGTCCTTGCTGTGTCGCTAGCCGACCACGCCTTTATTGACATCTGTTGATCACCTACCGGGTATACTTGAAGCTTTCGCTTCACTTACAGGAGGTTGACGATCGACGTTCGATCCAGTAAGGCGTCAACATGCCTGAAATTGGAGAAGGAAAGTTCCCATCTTCCCTCATGTATCATTGAATTTCTACTAATTTGTCTCCCAGTCGCGCGGATCGTGCATTATCTGAAAAAGAGTCTTGTCGGGAAGACACTTTCCACTGTCAAGGCTCAGGATGATGCGAATGTATTTGGCAAAGTCGGAACGACCGCAGCGGAGTTTCAGAAGGCCATGGTAGGGAAGAAAGTGTTGGATGCTGGCCAACAGGGGAAGTACTTCTGGTGAGTACCAATCTATGCTACCACCTGGCTACAAACCCATTGTAGATCTTGACTGATAATTCCCAGGATGATCATGTCAAGCCCACCTCATCCGGTCTTCCACTTCGGCATGACTGGTTGGTTCCATATTCGAGGAGAGCCGACCAGTCATTACCGACCCAAGGAGACAGACGATTTGGATATCTGGCCGCCTAAGTTTTGGAAATTTGCATTGGAAACCAACAGCGAGCCAAAGGTTGAAGCAGCATTTACAGATGCTCGGAGATTCGCCCGGGTTCGGCTTGTTGATTGTGCCGCCGAAGATATCAGAAAGACGACGCCTCTCAAGGAAAACGGGCCTGACCCTGTCATTGACAAGGATGTTCTTACTGAGGACTGGTTGGTGACAAAGATGAAGAAGAAGCATGTTCCCGTAAAGGCTTTTATGCTCGATCAGGCGAATATCAGTGGTATTGGCAATTGGGTTGGGTATGGACGCACTGTCAAAAGAATTTGGGCTAGCTAATGTCGACAGAGACGAGATTATGTACCATGCTAAGCTCCACCCGGAGCAGTATACAGATACTTTCAGCGAATCCGAGATTAGACATCTTCACGCTTCGATTCGCTATGTCTGCCAGACTGCCGTTGACCATTTATCAGACTCGAGCAAGTTTCCGGAAGAGTGGTTATTCAAGCATCGGTGGGGAAAGGGAAAGAAAGATGCAGCAACCACATTACCCAACGGGGAGAAGATCACTTTCTTGACAGTTGGTGGCCGAACAAGTTGTGTGGTTCCCAGTGTACAGAAGAGTCAGTTTTCAGGCAGTAGTCAATCCCCTTCTTCGGAGTTTCTCGGGTGCAATTTACCCCCAAAACTGCCCCTGAGACATGCAGAAACGATCGTTTGCTGAATTTACTTTTTTCGGCAGAGACAGGAGCTGTTGCAGGTGATTTAAAGAAGGAAGGTGATGAACAGGAAAATGGCACTGCGAAGAAGGGAGGAAGAGCATCGAAGAAGAGAAAGGTGAATGAGGAGGAGGAGGATAGTGACAATGAGAAAGTGGCGGAAGAGGATGAAGCCCGGGAGAGCGATCAGCCGACGAAGAAGAGGAGGGGCACTCGACGTGCTCAAAACACAGAGAATATCTCTGGCGAAGATAATCTTCCTCCGTCCAAAGAGAAGACAGCATCTGTGGGTAAGGAAGAGGATATCAAGTTTGAGGCCGCAGATATCAAAAATCCGATAAAGGGAAAGGCAAAGAAGGCCATATCCAAACCGGCTGTATCATCAAAAGTCCCAAAGACGGCCAGCAAGAAGATCAAGGTGGAAGATCAACCACTGGAGGGAAGACGTCGTTCAGGTCGAGTTTCCAGTAGAAATGCTTAATATTACGAGTTGCGAAATGTACAGTACGGAGGAGTCTGCGATAATTGGATGCAAAGGCTTCGAAGCTCTGCTCGTTTGTATGAACAATTTACCAGGAGGGCATGTATTGGTCACTCGGCTGTAAAATGATTCGCCATTTCGGCTCCCGAGCTTCTTCTCGTTCGCATCAAATGAAACTCTGACTGATATCCTTTTCTTGAGGCGTACTTGGTCTCTTCCTTTGGTCTTTCAGCTCCGGTGCTATCGGTTCGTAATCTTTCATTTGTGTTTTGCGTCAGAGCTTACTTACTCGCCGCTGAGGCACATGAATTCGCAGATCAAGACCGGACTGATCGCCCGCCAAGACGTGATTGAAAGGGTTCCTTGCGAAGCAGCGATTGTGATATTGTTATTTCTGACCTTTTAAGCTTTTAGAACAAGAAGATGATCGACTGACTGGGGCAAAAGTTTTATATAATACCGAAGAGCGCAAGGGAGAGCCCAGGAGGCTCTTGGAAGATGTGTATAATCCATCTCGCAAACTCTGGAATGTACTTCACTGACACTGCTATAGCGACGGCTGGGTTATTCCAGGAACTTCAACTGCTCTCATGGTGAGTCGTAGGCGCTAGTACCATATTCACTGATGCTAACCGGTGATAGGATGTATCGGGAGCAGGGAAATCAACCATTTTAGACGTACTAGCTAGTAGAACGACTATGGGCGTTGTGAACGGGCAGATGCTAGTTGACGGTAGAGAACGGGATAAGGGCTTTCAGAGAAAGACTGGTTACGCCCAACAGCAAGATCTGTATCTAGCAACTTCAACTGTTCGAGAAGCGTTGGTTTTCTCTGCGGTTTTGCGCCAATCTAGGATTACCCCCTACAAAGATAAACTAGCTTATGTCGACGAAGTCATCAAGATGCTAGAGATGGAGGCTTATGCCGATGCGGTCGTTGGTGTTCCTGGCGAAGGTAAATATCGCTCATGCTCACAAATTGTGGCTTCCATATACTGATGTACTCCAGGCCTGAACGTGGAGCAACGCAAACGTCTGACTATTGGTGTCGAACTCGCGGCAAAGCCCGCTCTCCTCTTGTTCCTCGACGAGCCTACATCGGGTCTTGATTCGCAAACAGCTTGGTCTATTATCGCACTACTTCGTAAACTGGCAGACAACGGGCAAGCTATTCTCTGCACGATCCATCAACCTTCTGCCATCCTTTTCCAGGAATTCGACCGTTTGCTCTTCCTGGCGGAGGGAGGAAAGACGGTATATTTTGGAGGCGTTGGAACTAATTCAAAAACCCTCACCGATTACTTTGAGAGGAACGGGTCGTGTAAATTCGGCGCTGAAGAGAACCCTGCCGAGAAGATCCTTGAGGTACGTTTTCGTCTTCTAGATTTAGGGCAGATACTAACACTTACAGGTCATAGGAGCTGCTCCTGGATCTACCAGCGAGATCGACTGGCCGAAAGTCTGGAGTGAGTCTCCAGAGCGGAAAGAGGTGAAAGCAGAACTTGCACGTATGAAAGAAAATCTCAGCCAAGAGCCTGTCGACGATGACCCAATGGCTCTAACCCAATTCGCTGCCCTTCCCTTGATACAATTACGAGTCGTTCTCCTGCGAGTCTTTCAGCAATACTGGCGCACGCCTTCGTATCTCTACTCCAAACTTGCACTCTGTAGCTCTGTTGTAATTTATTCCTCCTCAAGTGACTTTGTTCTTGGTCTCACTGACACGCTCAGGGCCTCTTTGTCGGTTTCTCCTTCTGGGACGCCCCGATCTCTCTGCAAGGACTACAGAACCAGCTCTTTGCAATCTTCATGTTGCCAGTCGTCTTTGGTAGTCTGTCCCAGCAAAGTATGCCACATTTCGTGACACAAAGATCGCTCTACGAGTCCCACGAGCGGCCATCGAAGACATATTCGTGGATTATCTTCATAACATCCAACTTGATCGTTGAGCTACCGTGGAATACGCTTCGGGGTTTGATTTTGTTTTGCAGCTGGTATTATCCTATCGGGTTGTACCGCAACGCCGAGCCAACACATGCGGTGCCTGAGAGAGAAGGACTCATTTTCTTGTTCCTGTGGACATTTGTCATATTTGCTGGCACATTTACGCATCTGGTAGTTGCTGGTATCGATACGGCGGAGACTGCAGGAAATGTCGGGAACTTGCTCTTCTCTCTTTGCCTGATCTTCAACGGGTAAGTTCATCTATTTCCCCAATCATCGTGTGTAATGCTTCGCAATCTTCGGAGCAGTCACTAACAAGCAATCTCAGTGTCCTCGCCCCATTCGATGCCCTACCCCGGTTCTGGATCTTCATGTATCGCGTCTCTCCGTTCACATATCTGGAATCTGGTATGATTTCCACGGGCCTAGCCAAAACAAAAGTTATCTGCTTCTCAATCGAATATCTCCACCTAAACCCTCCCGCCAGCGACACCTGCCAAAGCTTTCTCCAAAACTACACCATGATGGCTGGCGGCTACTTGCAAAACCCCGAAGCTATGACAGATTGCAGCTTCTGCCCAATCGCGAACACGAATGTCTTCCTGGAGTATATGAGCGCAAAATACGAGGATCGCTGGCGGAACCTGGGTCTTCTGTGGGTGTTTATCGTGTTTAATTGCTTTGGGGCTGTTGGGCTGTATTGGTTAGCGAGGGTGCCGAAGAAGTCGACGAAGAGCAAACAGAAGTAAAGTGACCTAAGTCGGGGCTATTGTGCTGCTTCTTTATTAAGATACCCCTGTGCGATCGCGAGCCATAAATTCTAGTTCAAATTGCTTTGTCCGGGATATTGTATCGTAGTCTCTTGTTGGGCTTGGCATATAGAGTGCCCGAACTTATTAATCATACTTGTAGAAAAACATGCGTTAGTAAAATATAGCGACAAACTGGGCTTTAAAATAAGATTAGTTGAGTGCACTAACGTCTGTCTATCTATGAGTTGATCGGAAATTTCAAATTGACCCTCCTTGCCCTACAGTGTTTACCTTCGGCAACTGAAAAAGGGGTAGGTGGAGCAGATAGCCGAGGTGGCAGGGATACGCGTCGCGTCGACACGTCTCGTCCAAGGCACACGGCTTGATGACTTCATGACTTCGACCAAGCTAAAATCCAGGACACCGCGAATCTTCCGACCACCACCCCCAAAAATAACACCAAAATGCCTCCTCGAAATACCCCGCGCAACCCGCGCGTCAGCGCCCCTGAAAACAGAGTCTACACATCTACTACGCCCCTGACACAATCTAAACTCCCCATCCCGCGCAAGCAGATCCGCTCCTACGGCAAGAAGACGTCGAGGCGGATCGCGATGTCGAAGCAGGAGACGCTCACGCAGATGTGGGATGGGAACATGAGTGCCTTTCCCGCCGAAGATGAGAATGGAGAGGGGGTGGGGGAAGAGGGAGCGGAAGGAGGAGGGGAGGATGGGGATTATGAGGAGGTGGCGAAAAAGCGGACCAGGAATTCGAAGAGGAGGAAGACGGAGGGGGATGAGCCGAGTGGGAGTGCGAGTGCGAGGAGGAAGAACTTCCATACGCAGCATCTGACGCAGATTTGGAGTTATAACCCTTCGATGCAGGGGTATGATGAGGGGGAGCTGGAGCAGATGCAGGAGCCGGAGCAGCAGGGAGAGGTGGAGCGGTCGATTTGGGATGTGATGAGTTCGTCACCCGTGGAAGTTTTTGGGTCTTCATCAAAGAAGGCTTTCTCGAAAGCTGATACGCCGTCCAGGGCAAAGGCGAAGAGTGCTGGGAGGGGGAAGGGGACAGGGAAGAAAAAAGCAGCACCGAATGGAGGGGCGTCACCGAGCAAGCAAATGCCGCCTCCGCAAACACCGCGCCGAAGAATCCTTGCGACGGAAATCCCGTCCTCGCAATCGCCTGCTGGGACGCCGTTCTCTACACATTCTAGGGCTTCGATAAGGAGGTCGCCGTTGGAGGAAAAGTCTCCGAATATTGCTATTCCGTTCAACTTTAATCCTAAGCGGAGGTCGGAGGTCAGTCCAGAGAAAATTCCGGTTTTGGAAGTGAGGGATACTTATGCTACGGAGGAGGAGAGCCAGGCTACGACGAGGGTGCTGTCGAGTCCGGGGAAGAGAATGAGCCCGACGAAAAGTGTTAGATGGGTATTGCCGGACGAGGAGGAACCAGGAAGTCCGTCTGTTAAGAGGAGGGGTATGCCAGGATCAAGGGCGAGGCAGTTTGCCGAGAAAGAAGGTGAAGAAGATCGAGACGAGGAGGGAATTGGGGAATCATCGGCGTTGATTGGGTCACAGTCTACATCAAACGCCACAACTGAACTTCAGTCGAGTGAGCAGGAGAAGAAATCTCGGTCACTATTTGTGTTGCATGATACCTCGAAGTTTCCGTCCCGATCTATCGATGACACGAAGGAGGCCGAGGACAGGGAAATACCGCAGCCGTTACAATCTACTCAGAACCCTCCGCCCCGAAGTTCTATTGGTCAGAGAACAGTGATCGAGGACTCGGAAGCGGAGAGTGATGAAGATTTTATGGATGATATCCGAGAAGATGACTCGGTAGAGCCAGCTGCGGAAATTGATGATGATCATGATGATGATATTGGTCCAAGGCCAGTGAAGTTGGCAGAGCCGGCGGACGTGCCAGAATCGATGGAGCTTGATAATGACGGAGCTGGGAATGCTGTAGTGTATGATGAGGGCAGAGTGATGGAAATATCAGGATCGGTGGACCTCGACCGTCATGATGAAGATCGGGATCAGGAAACATTCTCTGTGCCACCAGGATCGCCTCTTCTTGGCACCACGAGCATTCCAGAACAAGAAAGTGGGGCTTCGAGTCACGAAATTGAGGAACAGCCAGAGACGTGCTATGGGGAGATCGGCCTAGAAACACAATTCGAGGTTTACGGGATCATGAGTACTGCGGAGCCAACGCGGACCCAATTCAGTATGAAGCCGGAAGTAGACCATGAGAATATTCCGGAATCGGTGCGAACTCAGGCTGCGACGGCACACCATGAATTAATCGAAGATGGTGATTCCGAAGAAGAGGAAGATAGTTATCTCTCACAGGACGAAAATGCTGCCGAGAAGACCCAGTACATAGAAAGCCAAAGGCTTTCCACCCAGCATGTCCAATCGATGGCGGCAAGAACAGCCGAATCCGACGTTTTTGTTTCTGTTCACCCGTCCAGTGTCACCAACATTGTCAAAGGCAAAAAGAACCATGAAATACGCGCCTACTCCTTCCCTCCCAACGTCTCACGAATCTGGCTCTACGAAACAAGCCCAACGATGCGATTAACATACATGGCTGAGATTGGGCCTGGCAAGAAGCCCGGCGAGATGACGGATTTCAGTGGCCTAGGAAATGCGGATTTTAACAACAAGTCGGATGCTTGGAGGGCATATGAGATACTGCAGGTATACAAGCTTGCGCGTCCGCGGCCGTTGTCGGAACTCAAGGAGAACGGATGGCTAAAAATTGCGCCCAAGAAGACGACTCGAGTCGCACCGGCTGTGATTGACGAGCTGATGGCCAATCTCCTGCCGCCACTGCTGTATCCAGAGGGAGAAGCGGGGTCGGCGACCGACCCCACGTCGTCGTCCACGGACACGCAAGAGATCCAGGATCAGCTACAGAGAAACGTCGAACAATTTACACAGTCTGTTGCGAAAGCTCTTGGACCACGACAGGATCCAACAGAGGAGGAATCCGACGACTCTGACGAGGAGATTGTCGTGCCTGGGCCGAGACGGCGAATCCCCGACTCGCCCGTGGCGGAGAGAGTCCCCTCGTCTTCCCATCAAGCCACCACGCCTCGACCCCGAGCGCGATCCCCGACGCGCCCACCATTGTCCCAAGCTACGACCGTCGACCTGACGCAAACACCCGTACCGAAGCCTGCCTCTTCCCCGGTCGAGGTCGATGTCGTCTGGGAGAGCCCGGCGCGGCCTGTGCGGAGCAGCAGCACGCCTCCGAAACTGCCCATGCCGTCCAATCGAGAGGATCAGGGGCCGGAGTCTGTGGTCCCCTTCTCTATGGCGAGCTCGCAGCTGCTGACCAAGAGCCAGCTGCTGTCGGATAGCCTGTTGTTCGACCATGGGGCGATGGGCCCGCCGCCGTTGATCATGGATTCGGACGATGAGATTGAGGATTGAATGAGTCTGGAACTGGAACTGGAACTGGATACCATCGGTGTGTGCTGTTTGATACCGTACAGGTTTGTGGATGGGTCTAGGATAAGGTCTCAGAATTTTCTATACTCAAAAGTAGAATTTACTTTAAATTTCGAAAGTAACTGTCTTCTCTCTCTCTACGGAGTCAGTGACACCTCCCTCACTCTCTCAATGATTTTCTTTTTCCATCTTTCTTGCCCTATTATTTTGTATCCCGATGAAAGGCAAGGGGTGTGCTTAGGTAGGTAGGTAGGTGTAATATACAAGTCTTCTTCCTTCTTTTCTTTGCTTTACCTTTGGCAACCCCACCCGCTCTGTATTGCTTGCATACTACATATCTGCTACGGCTGGAATAGAATATTATTGTAATACTATCTAATCGTACGCTTGGTATTGAGAAAGTAAGACGAGGAGAAGAAGTACCAGAATACAGGCTCGAGGTATATACATCCCCGAGGGCGGCATGTCATGTGACTCTGCTGACCAACCAGCCCCAACTCCTACCCTTTAGGTAGAAACCTTCCTTGCCAAGGCCGTAACACTATCTACCTTAGGTATCTATGCTCTACCAGCCAACTCACTAGCTCTAGTTAGCTAGTTAGCTAGCCACGTATAACCATATGAATACTGCTCAATCTGAAACCACCGCCCATGATCAGGTGTCTAGAAAGCGCAGGAGTAGATGACGGGGTGATGAATTAGCGTGTATATATACATATACGAAGTATTTGAGTCGATATCACAAGTGCATATATATATTACACTTATACTCCGTAGGTCAACGTCTAGAATAGGTAGGTTAGGTACTCGTACCCAGATCGATCGGCGGTCGGTGTAGCTGCTGCTGCTGCTGTTGTTACTAAATATTAAAACGGATATAACCGGGATTTTGACTCCTCCCTGTCATGAAGATCGGAGGGTTTGGTTGGTTTGTTGGTTGGTTTGTTGGTTGGTTTGTTGGTTGGTTTGTTGGTTGGTTTGTTGGTTGGTTTGTTGGTTGGTTTGTTGGTTGGTTTGTTGGTTGGTTTGTTCGTTGGTTTGTTGGTTGGTTTGTTGGTTTGTTGGTTTGTTGGTTGGTTGGTTGGTTGGTTGGTTGGTTGGTTGGTTGGTTGGTTGGTTGGTTGCAGGTAGCCAGCCGGTTGAGCGTGTCATCTCATCTCGTCCATTTCGCTTAATTCGCTTTGTTCCCCTTTTGCGCTCTCGCTTGAAAAAGACCGCGGGCGAGCGAGCGAGCGATCCATGCGCGACATGCACATACTTACGAATCGCTCCTATCTCTGCTCTCACTGCTGCGAGGTATTGCAAGCGCGTGCCAGACTACGGAAGGACTAGGTAGTGCGACTATAAGCCTTCTTGTCGCTTCGTCTCTTCGGAGATATACGCTTCGACTGATCACCCAACAACCGCTCTCAGGCTGAGTCGATCGGAGCAGGGAGGCGAGGCTGCGGCATTCACAAGGTGAAATGCCTATCTACCCTCCACTGACCATTTCTTACGGAGTATTGGCGAAATGAATTACTGCAAAAGATATCGTGTTGCGGTAGCATGTAGCCAATTTCGGTCGGCATTCGACCTTTGAGAGTCTGGAGAGGAAGAAGTGTGCGGGTGCGCACTGGCAAGAAAATTCCGGGCACATGCACTACTCTTTCCGTTGCTACTGCAAAGTTGGGACTGGAAATTTGATGCATGATCGAGTCATGCCTTCTTCAGAACAGGTTGCCAGACGGGGCACCTAGAGAAGAGGAGATACCAGAACCATCTGTACCAAGCAATGCGACCATCTTCTACTTTGGTCTTATGGGGGGATCAAAGCAACGAAACACTTGCTCGTAGGGGAGCCTGCGAGTTTAACTTGTATTGCCGGTATAGGCACGGGCTAGATTATCTGATCGATGAGCCTGAAGCCCACATCACAGTTGACCTAGTTGTAAGCACCACAAGCTTTGAGGAAGCGTTGGTCGGCCAGCTTGCCAAATCACTGGCTGGATGCCCCTTTCAAATCAAATGGCAGAGGCTGAGGTATTTGCACCGGTACCAATGTGATCCTGGGTTTGCAAGTGTTCCGTGATACACCATAGTCTTCAACAGGAGTTTTCCCTGAGTTGGCCATCAGCAAGCCTCGCGGAATTTGGAAAACAGCACTGAAAAGCCGTACGATCCAAGACCGAGAAGTTTTTTGCGGCAATCTGATCAAAAGAACGCTGGTCCGAAGCCCGAGGTGGTTTTTCCTTGAGGATGGCCGAGGCTGTTCCACCAATATTCTCCCGTAACGGGTAGTCACCGTCACCACCTGCATCGGCTTGCGGCATTGCGGCATTGCGGAAATTCAAACGTTAATGATCGATCCCGCTACTGCTTCAGCAGATATACATGGGGGCTTGGAATCGGGAACCTTTTGGACGGATGATCACCGCTATCACATCGGGTCTCACTCCTGCTCGGCACATCTCTTTTGGATTCTGCGATGGGGGTGTGACGGAATTCCCCTAGATGGTGCCAAAAGAGGTACGAAGCGCCTTCGATTGGGAGGCAGAGTCCATGTAGTCTCGTGGAAAAAGGAAGTGGGTAAGCACCCCGCCCCTTGAAGAATGACCGCCGCCATGCAACTTGAAGTGCACGAATAAGACGGTGCAAGGAGAGCGCTTTGTCCATTTTGGGGTAATCATAAGCTAAGCATGGTTACACACCATCTGTTACTACTAATGGTTTCGTAGACCAACGAATCTGGAGTCGGACGAAGCAGAAGAGGCCACGCTGCTGCATGCATCATGCAAAAACTTGACCCCCGTACACGTTTCTGTTCTGCGGCTCGGTGGGTTTTGATAGAACCGTAAGGGTTGAGCTTCGCCTCGCGGCCGAGGCCCACGGAGAGGTGGGTTTGGAGAATCTGGATCTGGAGCGCTACATTACTAGTTGATGTAGGTTGACCAGAGTCCCTAGCAGTTAGGGGTCTTGTAGGGGTCCGTTGGTATCAGTCGGTATGGCTCTTGGTACTCTTATCTGAAGACCTAAACCTAGACGTAGATCTAGACGTAGATCCAGCCCCAGACCTAGACCCTGCCATGGCAGCTGTGGGCCTCTTTTTGTTTGGAAAACGTGGGGTTCCAAGGGCTGGGCGATGGTCATCGTCGTACCCTCGTCGTACCCTCGTCGTATTTAGTAGGAGTATTCGCGTTGACATTTGGCCAGTGTTGCAGTGCAGTGCATCACATACACATCGTACTAACGGGCCGGTTGAGGTACGAGGCATGATGTACTCTTTACTGCATTTGCATGTATGTAGTAGATGTACAGACCGAGAGTAAAATCGCCAGTCCTGCCGTTGCCGGGGGGTAGAGAAGGGTAACTTACTCCGTAGAGAGAGATTGAGATGGATTTGATTCATGGCAAGCCAAACTACCGGTACTACACTATAGTCGCTAGCTGGTTCACGTGACTCTGGCCGATTGCAGAGCCATGTTGAATGTGTCGAGTGCCCAAGTGCCCAACCGCCCTCTTCGTTGATCGATCGTAACTTACCGGCGCCATCCGCCACCCGCCACCCGCCACCCGCTACCAGTTGCCCCCCGTGCGACTGAAGCATTGCAGAAAATGCGGTGGCTGTACTTCGTACCTCTCGCGATCTTTAAGCCTATTAAGCGCGGCGCGGATCGGACCAACTAAATTCCTCTTGACGTCTTTGATATGGGGAAAGGCTTAATACGATGGCTTCTGGTCGAGCTTTGAAGATGCATACATCAGTCATGGATCAAGGCGTCAAACGTTGGTAGTTCAATCAACGAGTCGGTCGGGAAATTCTTTCGTGGTGTCGTCCTTGTCGTCGTCGTCCTTGCCTATTATTCGCTTTCTTGACGAAGGTTCATGCTGAGAAGATGAACGGCTATCCGAGCGAAAACCAGCAGCGGAATCTACAGCAGGTAGGTCGGCCCGCCAAGAGTCATTTGCATGCGTGACTGACTGACAGCCGTTTTTTGAGATGCAAGATGCTGCCGCAGCTGGAGGGCAGTATGGAGGGGACTCGAACATATTCAGTCAAATCAAGGACTTGTATGCTCCAAGCGGTATTGATGTGCTGAACATACTGGTACGTTTTCTGCAGCAGCTCTGGGTGCTGGCTCAAGCCGGATCACCTCTTGCTGCCAGGCAGACTTGTAGCTAAGATGTGGTCACCTGCAGTTGGCAGTCAAATGTCGGCCAAATCCCCAAATCGACATCGGCAACATCGACAGCGGCGTTGCCCTCGTCTTGTGCGATGCCGATGATCTTGACAACCCTATAGTCTACTGCTCTGAGCCCTTCATGTCGCTCACCGGCTACGACTCCGCGGACATCATAGGAAAGAACTGCCGCTTCTTACAGCACCCCCCTGGCCAAAAGTGTGCAGATCGAGATATCATTTCCACCAACTCAGCCGCAAGGAGGAAGGTAAAACATAACAATCTCCACGGCATGGAATCGCAGACCAGGTTTGTAAACTTTAGGATAGATGGTTCAAGGTTCAACAACATCTTGACCTTGATACCAGTCCATTGGGAGGGGAGGAATTACATCGTCGGCCTCCAGGCAGACGAGGGGAGAATTTACCGATAAGGCTGTTCTGATCGCTTCTATGCGTCGGTCTTACGTTGGCGCACGTGGTATGGGCACCAGTGTTTACAGTTTACAGTACCATCGGCCTCCACTTTCATACCCGAGTGGTACCTTGACTAGACATCCCCGCTGATCGAGTCCCAGAGAAAGCCGAACGACTTCTATTCGACCTGTCGCTGCGACACAAATACCTTACGTATTATAAGAGCATCAACGCACGGATTTCTATAAACAGAACCCCCACCCGCCATGAATAAGGGGCATGATCCTAAGGGTGGCACGAATAGATTTTGACTGCGTTTTGACTCGTGCCAGCCTTAGGATGCTGCCCTCAGACCCTGTATATATAAAGTGCAAAGTACAAATGCAGAATGCTAGGGCCAGTACCCCAGGTTATCGTGTCCGGTTTGAAAAGTGTCCGATTGCCTCAGGCACTTGAGGCACGTAAAGTGTAGGCTTCGGCTATCAAAAGGCCTTATCAAAATGACTAATCAAAACGAGCGTTATTTCTGATAACCGAAGACTCATGCACTAGCATATCAATACATTCAGGTCTGCAAGACAGTATATCTACAATATATAACTTATGGTGCTGTCGACTCTTGGGATTGATACAAAATCAGCGTGAATACTAGACTAGGTAGGCTTGAAATCAATAACAAAGCTCTTTCCACCGACCATTCCGTGCTCAGCTTACGCTCTAACCGCCAGCTTTTGTTTCTATTGCAAGCAACTCTACCTACGGAGTATATCAATAGGTAAAAGGCATGGTACCATACTTTAAAGCGGAGTCCATTTGCAAAAGCTCCAATCAAGCGCGTTCACGATCAAATAAATTTGGTGTCAACGCGATAGCCGAAGTGCCTCAAGTGCCTCAGGCCATCAGACACTTCAAAAAAACCCGACGTCTCAAACGGGCACGCCCCCATGGGGGAGGCTCAGGCGATTACTCGGCAAAAATCCTGTGCATATACGTAATATCAAGTACATAATCGATATGATTGATAACAGCTTACGACCAAGAGCTTCCCACTCGGCATACCGCGCTCGTGTAGTTCATTCAAGTGATCTTAATAATCCCTTTCTAAATAAAATATGAAAGTATAATTTCGCAGGGCTCTCAACGGGGCATTGAACCAATCAACGGATTCAGCCTTGAAGTGTATCTTTAGGTAAGTATTTAGTCTGTGCAGTAGGAGTCAACAAGGCTTTGAGCCATGCAGAAACCACCGCTTTTCGATTTATGGGGCCAAACAGGATCCGTCTTTTATTTAGAGGGGGGGGGTATAAGGTCGATTCCGTTAAGTTGCACGGACCAGACCTTACTACTTTTTAATCTCCTCCCTTCCGTGTTTGTACAATTATTTTACCAAGCGTTGTATTTGTACTCTCCCCCCCCC